AAAAAATGCAAATCACTGCAGATAAATCCTTCGATTCATGGTTAGTTTTTACTTTTTTTAGTTATGCCTTGGTTGTGAAAGTCAACCAAAAGAAAACAGCTTTGGTTTCTGCTTTAAGTTTGGTCGTTGCTGTTTCTCCTCTCAAAATAGCTCCACCATTCTGCTTTTCTTTATGTTACTTTTTAGGTTGATTGTGGGATTTGTGGGGGTTTCTTTTCTTTTTTTGCAATGGAAAGTTTCCAAAGTGTTCACCCTTTTGGGGATTCTTATACTCTTCTGCAATGAAAATTTATAGCTTTGCTTGAGCTGGTTGTGAAGCATTCATGGAGGCCAAGAAGGTAGTCAGGTAAAAAAAAAGATGAAATTTTGATGATTTACAGTGCACTATTTTGTCTTTTTTACCTTGATATTCAGCTACCCATTTCTCATTCTTGATGAAATGATGGAAAAATTATAGGTTTTACAGTGATGGGAAACAGAATCTTGGAAATTCCTGGGATAAGAATGAGAAACAGGTGGCTGGGTATAAATCTTCTGCAGGTTTGATAATAGCAGAGGATAGGAGTGGTGGAGAGAAGATCAGTAGGGTAAATGGGGTTCCTGGGAAAGGAAAGTTTAAGGTTTTCCCAGAGCATTATGGGTCAGGAAACAGGAAAATTCTTGATCCTGGGAGTGAGCTTGTCCTGCAGTGGAATAGGGTGTTCTTGTTCTCTTGTTTGGTTGCGCTTTTCGTGGATCCCTTGTTCTTCTACCTGCCTGCAGTGGTGAACGATGCTTCATCATCATCATCATCATCTTGTATGATAACAGACTTGAAATTGGGGATTATCTTGACCTGTTTCAGAACACTGGCAGATGCCTTTTATCTGCTACATGTTGCTATGAAGTTTAGGACTGCATATGTGTCTCCAAGCTCAAGGGTGTTTGGTAGAGGAGAACTCGTAATGGATCAAGAATTGATCGCGAGGCGCTACTTGAAATCCGATTTTTTCATCGATGCCATAGCTGCACTGCCTCTCCCACAGGTATAATCATGCTAATTCTTGCTGCAGATGATCTTGGTTGTGTGTGGTTCTGTCGCGTTTGATTTGGTTGTAGGGTTCGATTTGACGAGAAACTTGTTGGATTAGTCTTGAACTAGTCTAGTTTAAGATAAAAACATGTAAATTTAGCTCGAATCGATGATTGTTTTGATATTGATGTTGCTGTTCTTGAGCATACCGTCGTTTTGGTTTAAGTAGAAATAATCCGCGCTTTCTCCTTTCCTTTTTCCTTACTGTCGGGTGAGTCCAGCATCCTGCCATCGAAACGTGGCGCTGACTGTTATCAAGTATAAGAAAATAAAGTTGCGCCTTCGCTATTAGCTATAGTTTTTGGCGTAGTGGTAAGCGCTTGATCCTGACAGTTACCGTTTTTTGGTGAAATGCCAACATAGTTGAGTGATTATAACCGGTGTATATATATTGTTTAGCGTTGGATATATATGCTTTTCATCCAGGTGTTTGCGTTGTTCTATCTATTTAAAGTTTTGCGGATAACTTATCCTTGTTCTTGGACAGATTGTCATATGGTTCATCATACCTGCAATTAGAAGCTCCCATTTTGATCACACAAACAGCGCCCTCGTGCTGATAGTCCTGCTGCAGTATATCCCCCGGCTGTATTTGATTTTCCCGTTGAGCTCTCAGATTATCAAAGCCACTGGCGTCGTCACAAAAACAGCTTGGGCCGGGGCTGCATACAATCTGCTACAATACATGTTAGCAAGCCATGTACGTTTTAATTTCTTCTTAAACTTGCAATTCTCGTGCTTTCTGAAAGGCTAAGATTAATGTTTTTTTTTAGGTCTTAGGAGCATCTTGGTACTTACTGTCGATTGAGAGGCACGCAACGTGTTGGAAATCGGCCTGCAAGCTCGAACAAAGTCCAATAAGATGCTCCCTTCATTTTCTGGACTGTGGCAATTCGTTTTCTGGACTGGATAAACCGAGATGGGCGAACAGCACCCGAGTATTCACCAACTGCAACCCTAACAATCCCAAGTTTTTCAATTATGGAATTTACGGGAATGCAGTTACTAATAACGTCGTCTCCTCTAAGTTCCTCGAGAAGTACTTCTATTGTTTATGGTGGGGTTTGCAGAACTTGAGGTATTGTCGTGCCCCATACCGCTAATTTCATGTTTTCTTAGCTCAAACTGGCTTTAATTTTTTGTCACCATTGCAATATTTTTTGCAGCTCTTATGGACAGACACTAACCACGAGCACTTTCATTGGCGAAACGTCATTTGCCATACTTATCGCGATTTTGGGGCTTGTTCTATTTTCTCATTTAATTGGAAACATGCAGGTACTATATATTTGTAGTTTTATAAGATTGCAGAAATGCATAAAATGAGCTTGGATTTGAGCTGAGATTATAGAGAAGTTTGAGTCTTTTTGCGTGTTTTAGACATACTTGCAATCCATCACTGTGAGGCTCGAGGAATGGAGGCTGAAACGACGAGACACTGAGGAGTGGATGAAGCATCGCCAGCTTCCCCACGGTCTTCAGGAACGTGTCATGCGTTTCGTGCAGTACAAGTGGTTCACTACACGCGGGGTGGATGAGGAATCCATTCTCCGAGCTCTGCCTTCAGATCTTCGTCGTGATATCCAAAGACATCTGTGTTTGGACCTCGTTCGTCGTGTAAGACCTTTCTCCTGATCATACTCTTATAACATTTTATTTCCTTGCAAAAATTAGATTTAGACAGACTGTTTAATGTTGTCTGTTCCTGGTTTTTAATCTTGTTTGCATAGAAACATTATCCATTCTGTCTCTGCACCAGACAGTTGAGTCTTCTGTCTGTTTGGAACCTTAGATTTATCAACTCGGTTTTGTCTGGAACGGGCCGAACGGCCCTGTTAGGTGTCTGACACAAACCGCTAATACAATCTGCTATCTGTTGACCAATAGCGGGCAAACAAGGCCTACCTACATAACTTGTGTGAACTTGAGTTAAGGTTTAGCTTGCCTACAAAACGGAAAATTCCCTCCCCCGAGCCCCCGATAAGATAGTGAAGGGGTTGACTCAACAGCCCATTAAGTGGGAGGACACCCATATTGAGTGTAATTCACATACTGCAACTGCCAGAGCTTGATTATGTGTCCTTGTCCATAATCACTAACTTAACTGCCCATACAGGTGAGTTAACGTTTAGTGTTTTACACAAACCGCTAACACAATCTGCTATTTGCTAACCAATAGCGGGCAAACAAGGCCTACCTACATAACTTGTGTGAACTTGCAGGTCCCCTTCTTCTCACAAATGGACGATCAGCTGCTCGACGCCATATGTGAGCGTCTTGTATCGTCTTTAAGCACACCGGGGACCTACATTGTTCGAGAGGGAGATCCGGTGACCGAGATGCTGTTCATCATCCGAGGGACGCTGGAAAGCTCGACCACAAACGGGGGCCGGACGGGGTTCTTCAACTCCATAGCCCTGAGGCCGGGGGACTTCTGCGGCGAGGAGCTCCTCGCCTGGGCGCTACTCCCAAAATCTACTCTCAACTTACCATCCTCCACCCGCACAGTAAAAGTACTGGGCGAGGTGGAGGCCTTCGCCCTGCAAGCCGAGGACCTGAAGTTTGTGGCCAACCAGTTCAGGCGGCTGCACAGCAAGAAGCTGCAGCACACTTTCCGGTACTACTCCCACCATTGGAGGACCTGGGCCACCTGCTTCATCCAGGCGGCCTGGCGGCGGTTCCAGAAGCGGAAAACGGCCAAGGATCTCAGCCGGAGGGAGTCGTTTTCACACCTCGCCAAGGAGGAGAAGCCCGCAGACGATAACGGGAGCGATCAAGAGGAGGGACAGTCCAAAACCAGATCAAACCAGGCAAAACAGAACCTGGGCGTGACGATTCTGGCTTCGAGATTCGCTGCAAATACCAGAAGAGGAGTTCATCATCAGAAGATGAAGGATATGAACATGCCTAAGCTGCTGCAGAAGCCTGATGAGCCTGACTTCTCAACCGAGCCAGAAGACGACTAGAAGAAGCTCGATCAAGGATTGAATATGGATGCATGCATGGATGGATGGATGTTGATAAGCTGAGGATATAGGAATTTGGTGAAAATTAAAGCTTTGTTATATAGAGTGTAATATTTTTGTGTGAATATTGATGGGATGGATAAACATTGGGGGTGTTTTGCAATTAGTTGATAGCCAATTATGTTAGCTATTTTAACATGTTGATATGTTATAGAGAAATATTTGGTAAATTAACTATTTACTTTTAACTGATTACAGGTAAAATGATAAAAACATAATTATATTGTGATATTTACTTAACTCTTAAATTTATTTTTATTATTTTTATTTTATTATTAATAACGTTATATCTATATATATATATAAAAAAATACTTTGTAGCAAATAATAATTTAATATTAAAAATATAAATTCAAATAAAAATAAACATAAATATAAGTTGTTAATAATAATTAAACATAACCAATGATGACAACCCGGCGGGAATGACCCGGAATTCATCCCTCATCCCTTGACCTTGCCCCATTACTTGGTGGGATGGAGAATTACTCTCCATGCGTGCAGATATTTTTTGAGGACAGAGATTCTCTATCTTGATTTAAAAAAAAAAAAATTATACACATCCTGCTTTTTTAGTACACTATAAAATTATACAATAATTTACAAATTTATATATTTAAATATCTAATTAGCCTAACATTCAATTATCTCAAATACAACTGGTAAAAAAAATACTTAAAAACATTAAACAATACTTAAGATTTAAATTGTTCAAATGAGTCATTAACCAAAATACTAAATGTCCAAATTTTCAAATATCCAAACATAATAACTTGAAAGAAAATAATAACCAAAAGTCTAAATATTAATGCTTATACACATTAGTGTAAGTTGATATCAACCAACTACTCAACTTCACTTTTTTTTTTTCCAACTTATTTACATTATTATAAATATTTTTCCGCATCTTATTGATATGGTAAAAGCATCCAACACCACAAATTGTTAAGGGCGAGAGAAGTTCACTCCTCAGTCCTCTCCATGCAAAACTCTTTAAAACCCCTCCGCCACCGGCAAGTTTCGCCGTCGGCCATCAATCTCAGATCATCAGTAAAGGCGCCACCGCCTTACACGATCTCCTTCTCTTCCATATATCAAAAAAAATAATTAATAAGAAGGCAAAAATATAATAATGAGTCCTTTGCAGCTCTCCGCCGCCGCAGTTATCCTCCTAACATGCATCCTCTCCACCGCCTCCGCCTTCAACATCACGCGGATCCTAAACCGCTACCCCGAGTACGGCGTGTTCAACGATCTCCTGACTCGGACCGGTTTAGCGACTCATATCAACGCGCACTCCACTATAACCGTTTTGGCCGTGAAAAACGGCGGGATCGGCGATCTCTCCAGCCGCCCGATCGACCTCGTCGACGAGATTCTCCGGACGCACGTGATTTTGGATTATTTTGATATCATGAAGCTCCACCGCCTGAAGAATCACCAGGCGAAGCTCACCACCATGTACCAGCAGACCGGAATCGCGGACCGGAACCAGGGGTTTTTGAACGTCACCTCCGGAAAAGACGGCATCGTTTTCGGATCGGCCGTTAGGCGTTCCCCTCACGACGCGCATCTGGAGGAGGAAGTTATGAGCCGGCCGTACAACATCTCCGTGCTTGGCGTCTCCACCATCATCGTGACTCCCGGGCTCGACGACGACGACGGCCGGACGGCGCTTGCGCCGGTGGAAGCGCCGCCTCCTGACTCCGAATCACCGGCACCGGCTCCCGCACGAAGACGCCGCCGCCGCCGGAAGCGCGCCCCTGCCCCAGCCGAGGCGGAGACTCCAGCTTCCGACGCCGACGACTCAGACTATTCCCCGACAGAATCTCCGGCTAACGGACCCGGCGCGGACGGACCGGAAGCCGATTCGATATCCTCGGCCGGAAAGTCCGCCGCCGTTTCCCTCGGTGGTTTCTTCGTGCTGTTGTGCTCTCTGCTTGCAGCTCACTAACTTTTCTTGAAGACTGCTGAGGATATTAGCCATGGCCATGATCGGAAGGATACAAAAAAATATATATATATATGATCAAATTTTTTTAACTAAACATGTCCCAAAAATATATAAGTGGCTGAATAGGTGATTTTTTCAATGGAAATTTTGAAGGAGATATGATATGATAAGGTATCTTCGGGATACCAGGTCAGCATTGTATGTATCACCCTGTAATAATTTGACAAATCGTCAATTCAAGGAATAAATGGACAAATCCTCATTTCAAAGAAAAAATATGATATTTTCTCTCTACAAATTGATATCTTAGAGCATCCACATCAATTAGGGAGAATTGGGGATAATGTAAGAGTGATTAGGAGCGAGAACGTGGGAGGGGAGAGAAAAAAAAGAAAAAACTGATTTGAAAATTGAAAAAACTGATTTAAAAATTTAAAAATAAATAAATAAAGGCTTGTCAGGCGCGCTCACCTTTCTTTTTTCTGACATTATTTTGTGATTTGCAGGACAAATATCTCTTCAAACCCCATATTATCCACTAGTGTGGATGCTCTTATGATTCACTTGTCTCATTAATGACTTGAAATATTGATTTATCAATTTACTATACGTTGGTATACATATATCACTTTTTTTTTTCTCTTTAAAATGTTGCTTTGTCAATTTACTATAAGTCTAGTTAAAATGTTAGTTGTGGCAAATTAAATCTTTCATGCATTGAAACCCTCCACCTGCAACTCCACGGTGTGGGATGACGCTCTCCCTCCACTCGTTGGTGCATAACCACCGCCCTCCCGGACACGTCGAGAACCCGCCGGTAGGGAGCCAACCATCGCCCTTTAGGACACGCCGCCCAAGTGGTGCTATGTGGATGTAGGGTTCCGGCACGAGACCGGGGAGGCTACCTTCGGTGGACGGGCAGTTTACGGCGGCTCGAAACGGAAGGTTACCACCTTGTTTTTCGCCACTCATGGCAGAGACTCTGGCTTGTAAAGGAAGCTCTATCTTGGTTCTTGGAGAAAGGGATAACAACACATATTCTATCCTATGTTGGCGTTATGGTCGAATAGTGTAGGGAGCCCATGACATCGTTTAATTATTGCACTTTAAATTATGTTTCTAGAGTTTTAAATTCTCATGCTCATATCCTAACTTCTTTAGCATTTGATCAAGATCAATTGGGATTCAATCCCTCCTGACTCTATTACAGCTTTGATAAATCTTTCATGTTATTGAAACCCTACAAATTAATTTTGTGACTTTGCTAAAAAATAGTGACTAAATTTATATCATGACCACAATTGAGGGGCTTTAAAGCTAAGGTGTTAAAAATCTATACTATATACTCTATAGTCTATACTATTATATAAAAACAAAATCCTAAACTTTAATTATCCGCCAAATTCATAAAATTTCTATTCTAATATTGTAAAATAATAATGCAATACAATTCCTAATAAAATAGTCTAATAAAATTCTTAATAAAATATATTGGTTTCTACTTTCCTATTCGTATTATAATTCTATGTTAAAATTTATATTCTAATATTATAAAATAATAATGTAATATAATTCCTAATAGAATATATTTTTCCCTACTTTCTTATTCGTACTATAATTCTACATTAAAATTTATATTCGTAATACAATAGGACAATATTCAATTTTCTCTCTGCACTATAAGACTCCAATCTGGCCACACAATCCGACACCTCCATATAATACTTTCGAATCTGCAAAGGAATTTTCGTTCGATTCTTCAAATAGTAAATACTAATGAGATCTGTTTTTGTCTCTGCTTCCGGCCTATCCCCCAAGACAATAAAAAGTAGTTGTATAAGACTTCGGCGCTTACTCCATGATTCCAAGGTGAATATTATTACTCTATAAACCGTAGAACTATAGTAATAATATTCACCTGGGAATCATGGAGTAAGCATTCCAGTGTTTGTTGGTTGACTGTGGAACGTGGATATTCGCTTGACAAATAATAGCGCATGGTTGCTTGATGTTATCTATGTGTACTTGCACTTTATATTATCAACTTTTACTCTTACACACTAAATCTTGATGTCAATATTTGATTGGAACCTTCACATCAAAAAGTAAAATTGATGGGCTGAGATTTGGAGTAGATATAGAACTCTCTTTTCATTATGTGGTCCTAATTAAGGGGGTTATACACGATTTTTAACAAAAAGATGCCAACATGAAAGGGTAATAATGGAAAGAGAGAACAACTCAGTTCCTTCTATTAATTAGGGGGATTTTCATAATAGTCGGACCCACACCACTTTAAAGCTACTATCCTGCTTCACGTGTGAAGCTTACAATTATGCCCAGCGGGCGCGTTGTTGGCCGTTCTTTCACTTTTTTTTTTTTTTTTAAATCAGTATTTGTATTTTTTTTTCTTTTCTTCTCTTACCTAATTACACTTACAAAAACTTCTCAAAATTCACAATAAAATTCTCATTATTGGAGATGCTCTAAAGGCATCCTCAATAGTGTGAAGATTTTGAAGAGATTTTACAGGTGTGATTAAGAAAGAGAAAATGGGAGAAAATGCATAAAGAAAAAAGAAAAACAAAATATTAAAAAAAAAAAAGTTTAACACACCCAGCGGGCGCGCTGTTTCTGCCCAACGTGCAAGAGATGCGCAAATAAGAAAATAGATGGGATCCACATTACTGATAAAATTCTCATTTTACTGCAACAAACTCAGGAGTTTTTTGCACTTTTGGTCCCATGACTATGATGTCATTAACAACTTTGATCCACGACTTTTAAAAATTGTAGAATTGGTCCACGACTATGACTTTCTTAGCAAATTTGGTCCTTTCGGTGCATTTTTCGTTCAATTTTTACCAAAAAATTTTACTTCCCATTTTAACATGGGTAATATTATCTTTTCCATCTCACAAATAAATAAATAAATCATTAAACACAACCAGTGGTACACTGATTGAAATTAAATGTCACCCAATTCCGATTCCACTTTCAGTTTCACCCTCCTCGCTAAACGCCAATTTTTTTAGCTGTTTATTTATTTATGTCATTAGTTTCTGAGATGGAAAAGACAATATTACCTGTGTTAAATTGGAGAGTAAAATTTTTTGGCAAAAAATTAAATGAAAAATGTACCGGAAGGACCAACTTTGCTAAGAAAGTCATAGTCGTGGACCAATTCTATAAGTTTTAAAAATCGTGGATCAAAATTGTTAGTGCAACATTATCGTGGACCAAAAGTGCAAAAAACTCACAAACTCAGCCCCCTCTCTCCTCTCTCTTCCCCGTGTCATTTTTTCTTAAATCTTGTGCAAAATCCCCATTTAATGGGTTGAAGTACAAGTACTAAAACTTTCCAATCAGTATCTTATCAGTCCTATCACCTCACCAGTCACCACCATACCCATTTTTGCGACACGGAGCTATCCAAGTTAAAAACACTTTCTTCCAAGTCTTTTGCAGCGCAGCCATGAAAACCATTCCTCCCCAAAACCCTCACTTCTTCAAGCCCATTTTTAAAGGTTTCAAGAATGGCGTGGTAAGCATATCTCTAATCTCCCCGTATGTATATGTGGATTTCTTAATTTCTCTGCTGTTTTGTTCAAAGATTGCGTCTTTTTCCATTTTCAGAACATACCCACAGCTTTCTTGGCCAAGTACTTGAAAGGGCAGGACCCAAAGTTTGCGATACTGAGAAGGGGGGATCGGAGATGGCGGGTGAAGATCCGCGGCGGCCGGATGCTCGCCGACGGCTGGGAAAAGTTTGCGGCGGAGAATGGTTTTGTTGTAGGTGACTTTGTGGTGTTTAGACAGGAAAGAGATACGGTGTTTGATGTTTCGGTTTTCGAGCCCAGTCTATGTGAAAGAGATTTCCCACTTCCTGTCCCTCAGCCTTCCAACAACTTTTGCTCTGCTGGTAAAACATTTTCTCAAGGCTTCTGCTATAGAATATCATAGGAAATAACATATTAACATGTGACTAAATATATTTCATAATTTGTTTTGTCTAATTAACGTCTAATTGTGCGTGTCTTTTTACTCGAGACTCACTAAAAAGTAAAAACTCATTTATTACAACACTTCTCTCCTTCTTTATCTTCCCTCCACCTATATCACTCTCTCCTCCATATATGTCCAAAAAAAAAAACATGAAACTTATGTTTATAGATGTGATGAAACTAATTGATCCGGGTATGCATGGGTCAACTAAGCATAAAATATAAAGGACGAAATAGTAAAAGAAATAATATTGTACTCCATAATAATAATGGATGGATTAATGCAAGAGCATTACAAGAAATATTGTGTAATAATGAGACATGATTGTATAGACTAAGACATGATAGAATATAAAGGAAATCCTAACCAATTTGGACCACAAGACAAGGCCAAAACCTCCGGCAAATTGTTCTGTGCACCCGGGTTTACATTGCAATGTTGATCCCAATTCAAAGTTCACAATTTATATACTAAATATTCACAATTTACATACTGAATGTTCACAATTTAATATGTTAATTGTTATGAGCCCACCTTGCAAGGTGGACCTGGGTCCATGGTATAACTATTGAAAACCCCCCACGCTGGGCCACAGGGTTGGGCCAAATCCAACTGCCCCTACCCCGGAGACGGACTTCGAGGCAGAACGGCTATCACCCAATGCCGGCTGCTAAGGCCGAGTCTCGGACACGGGACTTGGGCCGCGGGTCCCTGCACCTGAGTCCAGCCACCCGGGTAGCCTCATCTGGTTCTCTGGGTCCAGGTCCTTCACCTTGGACTATCCACTGCCAGGTATTCTATCTTGGGTTCGAACCACCTTCTTGGTCCGGATCACTAATCTTGGGTTTCAGATCCCTATTTTTGGACCGTTTCCAATATATCCATTAGCATATATGCACACACCTATTTTACTACTTATTCCATTTCTTCCTGAAGTCTATTTCTCCAACGATTTTAGGAACCATGATTCTTTCCCTGTAGTTTTGTAAGTCTATGTTGTTATGTTGTGCGTTCCCATGATTTATTGGGGGAAAAGTTGTTCCAATTCTACTTCCGGCTTAGCAAACTGTTCAAATTTCTGGTGTAACAATGGTGCACTTGTTAATTTCTGTAAGATTGATGTTTCTTTTTGTTTTTTTGTTTTGTTTTTTGTTTTTTTTTTTTTTTTTTTTTTTTTTCCTGGTCTCTGAATGGTTAGTTGAACCAATAGCACGAGATACTACTTCAACCTCACCCGCTGATCATCCTTACTTTGTTTCCACTATAAAACCGTACTGCCTCAAAGCTCAACAACTGGTAAGAGTATCCTCAAATGCAGAAGTTGAACATATTTATGCATTATAGGTGTGAAACTTGAATGTGTTGCAGTATCTTCCCATGGAGTTTGCGAGGTCCAATGGCCTAGTGGCAAAAGAAAAGCGCGAGATGATTTTAAGAGACGATAAAGAAAGATCGTGGTCAGTGGTTCTGAGGAGAGATGGCTATCATTTCGGTATTCTAAAAGGTTGGCAAGCATTTCGAGTGGCTAATGGTTTGAAAGAAGGAGATGCATACAAGTTTGAGCTGATTAAGACTGGGAAAACGCCTATTGCCAAATTGCATTGTAAGTATGGTTTTTCTTCCCCGCTTTTCACTGCTCGTGTTTGCCTTATGGCACAGCAAAACTGTTTCAAATTTTCGGGCTGTTTGGTATGTCAGATAGGATTTGGAACAATTGTGTACATGTTAAATGTTAATTTCTGTTTTTCGACTTGGAATTTTTGAACCAATAATAGTACTGGGCACTACTTCATCTTCGTCTGCTGAGAATCCTCATTTTGTTGCCACTATACAACCGTACTGCCTCAGAAGGTCCAATCTGGTAAGAGTATCCCGAAATGCAGAACTTGAACACGAGAAATAATAGCTTTATGCAATATCTGAAACGAACTTGAATGTCGTAAAATTTCTGCAGTATCTTCCGCTGGAGTTTGCAAGGTCGAATGGCCTAGTGGGAGAAGAAAAACGCGAGATGATTTTAAGAGACGATAAGGAGAGATCGTGGACAGTAGTTCTGGGGAGAACGGGGCATCACGTTGCTCTTATGGGAGGTTGGCGAGCATTTCAGATGGCTAAAGGTCTGAAAGAAGGAGATGCATACAAGTTTGAGCTGATTAAGAGTGGGAAGAAACCCATCGCCAAATTCCACTGTAAGTGTCGTTTCTCTTCCATCTTTTTAGCAGTTTTGAAGGCAAAAACTTGTGTTTTTCTTGCACATATGGCAATGGGAGCTAATGGTGATTGCAGCAGGTCACTTTTCTGGAGAAGAAGATTGAAGGAAGCTGCTGCAGGCATGCTTTTTTGTGAATGAATCCATTGTACTAAAAGATGTTGTTTTCCTTGTGCTTTTTTGCTATGTAATCTTAGACTCTGTAGTGTACAAAGTTGATGTGATCTAAATGAATGGATATGATAAGGTAGATACCTAATACTATTGGTACTATAGAAAAATCCTAATTTCACTAACTTAAGAACAACCAAATCAGACTAACAAAAAATAGCTGCAAATTGGAGAATGCAGTAAGCTGTCATATAACAAACTATGCAATAATGTTTGTATACGAATTCTGTAGCATAAATGGCCGACTGGAAAAAACAAGAAACTAGTTGCAAAAAAATAAGCTAAAAACCTCTTAGAATCAATGTGTCAGTATTATTTTCGATGCGCTTCAATATCATTCATTGTCTTGGGCAACTTGTTCTTCTTTTGTTGATATTTCGCGTATGTATACCACAAGCCACCAACCGTGTTGATCACCAGGCCAGTGACATTTAATGCGTGCACTTGAACTCCTCCCAACAACACAAAGCCTAGGGTCTGCATTAGACACCCGAGATTTCATAAGAGCTTTGGTTTTGTTCCCCGCAAAATAAATAACTTAAAATGATGGCAAGAAGCAGCAAGCATTTGTGCACAAAATGACAAATGACCGAGGATTATAATCATACTCACCGTGGATCCGACCCCCTTGAGCACTCCAACAATTGTGGTAGTTAAGGCAGAGTTGACTACGGTACATAAAAACATTGTGTAATTTAAGACTATACCCATCACCAGTGAAAGTAGGAGTGTGACAAAGAATGATATAGAAGTGCTCTGTCAAATGAGAAAAAGAGTATAATTTAAAATGATATCAAAGTACTCCATCAGATGAGAAAAAGAGTATAATTTAAAATGATATCAAAGTACTCCATAAAAGCAAATCATAGAAAATGAAGTGGACAGAGCATGGCATATCTATGTGGAAAATATGAAATCAAAAAAAAAAAAAAATGTTTTACTATTGCAGCCAAACCATGTCATATCTAAGATTTTTGTATACTTTCTTAAAGTTGGAGATATATAGAAAAATTCAACCAGCTCTGCAAATATCTAAAGGTAAGTGCTTTATAGTTCACTCTTTGGGTGATGAGGGAAACCTGCAGCCACTACCCGAGAGCGTGCACTAGGTAAACCCTGCCTTGTGACCCTAGCTGGCAAAGAACCACAAGTAAACCAACTTAGGTTGCCCATAGCTGACCGGCTCAAACCAAGAAGGCCAATAGGCCGCTCTCGTTAGGAGTCGAACTTGTAACCTTGTGGTTACAAAGTCAACAGCCTGACCAACTTGACTAGGGTTGCCCCCTACAATCCATTATTTAAATATTACTTAGTTAGAATGTGTTATTTGTGTTTTATACATAGAAAGTTTCTCTTCAATCTACAAAATAAATGTTTCCTAAATTACGATTCAAGTTACCAACTGCTGAACATAGTGACATGGGCCAGGAATCTAACCTTTGTAAATAATATTGACAAAGAATCTGGAAACTCTCCTGTAGCTATAATAAGGAATAGCAGAAATGGTAAAGACAAAATGCTGTTATAGAACATAATCTCTATTGATGAAAGCCCATCCTCTGCTCCTGACCTTTCAACTAAAACAAGGTACATGGTCTGCAAATGAAAATGAAAACTTTAGCACTTAACTCAGCCAAGGAACACTCTGAACCATCTCCTGAACAATGGGCACTGAATGACAAACCTGAAAGAAAACGGAAATAAAGGCCATGCTATATCCGAAAAGATCAAATGAAAAGTCTCCCAGTGCTGCTACAAGAACTCCAGCAGCAGTTGTCAATACAGAAAGAATGACCTGAAAAGAGAGATGGGTTGCAAATAGCCCTAGAGAGGATAAATTTGAAATGTGTAATCGAGGTATTTGTTATATAGGCATTTATAGTTTATCCCCAGATGTGAGCCGATATTAACTTAGAGTTCACTGATATACTCCTCCGCATAAGAAGACTTCATGAGATTCTTAGAATTGTCTCTTGCATTTAAAAAAACAAAAAAAAAAAACAAAAAAAAAACAAAAAAAAAAACAAAAAAACAAAAAAAACAAAAAACAAAAGCAAAAAATAAAGGAAGAAAGAAAGAAAAATCTAAAAAGAAGAACAAGAAAGGAAGAAAGGAAGAAAGAAGTGAGAAAGAGGTTCTGTGAATAGACAAAAGCACAGTGTGTGTGGAACAGGATAGGTGGGATTAAGAACAATACCAATTGATATCTGAGAAAGAGAGAGAGAGAGAATACATGTTTCACATCACTTATGGTCCAAATCAAGTTTGATAAATTATTCTCTAGTTGATTTATCAATATTCCTATGAGTACTAAAATTGCTGTCAACTAATATCACAAGTCCCACCATTTATAGTTGTAAAAATCTCATTCAGAACATGAGAATGCATTTAACTTGATAAATATTTCTTAAGCCATTACTCTTTGGGGCTTGTCAGGGCACAAGGTGCACTAGAAGAGCAAACTTAGAGCTCACAATCAATGGGATATTAGGGACACTCAAGAGCTTGCCTGCAACTCAAAGTGATCCACCATTAGTCCCTCCATCAAGGAATTAACAAGAAGAGTAACAGAGGGACTAATGGCGGTTAACTTCACATAGTTGGCGATGGGTGGCTAATTTGGAAGTTGAAGGGTTAAAGTGTCAAATACGGTAAATATGGGATTCAGAAAAGGAATAAATCAGATATATGCATTTATGTATTTTCAGCAATACGCCAATACCTAATATAAAAAAAAAAAAACAAAATCAGTAACAATCCATGCTATTCAGCAAATCTCAACTTGGCCGCTGACTCCACTAAAATACATGTACATTTACAGATGAAACAATGTCATGAGATAGAGCAAAGTATCAAAACACCCAAATGTATAAACTATAAAGTAGCCAATGCTGGCAAGAACAGTATCCAGTAAGGAAACTAGAAGTCCAAGTACAAACCTGAGTGGTAGGTCTTGCCTTTCCCGCAAAGAATCCAGCTACTAATACAGCGAGTGGTGTAAGCCTTTTGATGGCAATATACATTGGAATATTGACTCCTTTCAAGCTTGCTAATGCAAATGCCACATTCGCATTATAGAACAAGGAAACCAGGAAAAGTCTTTTTGCAGTCTCAATGCTAAATCCTTTGGCTTTAGTGTATCCCAGTACCCTAGCGAAGTAAATCAGCAAAGTTGATGCTAATTGCTAGTATTAAAAGAAGGAAGCTAGTCAACATCCGAAAAGATCCAAAACTTAAAATTCAGCTTATATACACACAACAAACGAGCCTACACCTGAAGAGTGAGAAGCGTCATTGACTGAGAATATTGCATAAGCACAGCCTTGTTTATGAACACCATAGCCATCGATGCAACCCCATACGAGACTGCAGCAACCAAACTGCATTTACATACGCACGCATCATATTAGTAAAATCCCCAGGTGCCCACACGGACAGCACGAACAGCTCAATTGGTTGTGGGGTTGTAGATTATAGGCAAGGACACAGGATCAAACCCATAGCCCCTCAAGAGTTAAGCCCAATATGGTGGGCTCCTTTGCGCCACCATGCCAAATGGTCATTGAGTCACTGTGATTTAGCATTCCACTATCCTATCTAGTCAGAATGTGGGACTTATAGGCCAAAGAATTTTGCCTTTTATGGGAAAAGGCAAGTGGAGTTACACCCCATGTGTGGGCTCCGAAGCCCTGCAAAGGTCCTGGCCATCGAGTAAGTTACTGTGATTTAACCTCCACTATCCTGTCAGGGGATGTGGGGCCTAGGGCAAGGGAATTTCTCATTTCGTGGGAAGGGCAAGTAAAATCTCCAGGTCTCAAAACCAATACAGGTATGCATGTATGTAAATAAGGTATGAATTTCATGCGTTGATCAGAAATGAAGCCGGACCTGTTATACGGACTGATTTCCATGCTAGCCATCGTCAATCTCTGAGCTTCGAAGAGTATACTCCAATCACTTTACTGACCAAATGCAAACACAAATTCATAGAAAAATTGAATCGGATTACATAGCAGCGCAGTGCATTTCACGAACGAGAGGGAATACCCGGTGATTTGCAGCGACAGAGTATGATTCAATTGCGGATTTACATAACTTGATGGGATTCGGGAGAAATCTGGTATGAAGAATTGAGAAATTGGGCGGAGTTTTCTTGGATCCAGAGAAGGTTATCCTTTCCGCGGAGTAGAAAACGTAGACCGGACCAAAATTCAACTACAAGTATTCTGGGAAAGGTTACGTTTGTAAATTAGTTTTTATTTATTTATTTATTTTTTAGTACTGTCAACTTTATTACAAGATAATATATGTTTAATATATTGAAGTCTAAAGTGTCAATATCCCACCATCAGTGCTTCATCTTGTGATTTTTTTTGAATGAGAGCTACAGATGTACTAACTAACTCATTCAAGACGAGTACGGCTGTTGGGTAAAGGATTTCTCAATTAAAGTCGGTTCTACTATAGTTTCTCAGTGGAGTTGTGGGGCCTAAGGGGGGGTCTACGGCTCTGCTTGAGAGAAAGAATCGATAAAGGTATGGGTAGAGATGGACTCAACCGCAATGGTTGCCATCATGAATAGGGAGACTCAGATGGAGGAAACAGTTGTGACTTTAGTAAAGGATTGTTTTGATCTCATCTGTAACTTTCGCATGATTAAAGTTACCCACATTATGAAGGAAGGAAATCAGTGTGCTGATTGGCTAGCAAATTTTGGACAAAGGATTTACTGGGGAACTCTCATTTCGGACTCACCCCCAATGGAGCTCAACTCTCTTCTGGATGCTAATTCTCGTAGTAGGCTGGTCCCGAGGATCCGCTAACACTCTCACCTGAAGGTGCCAAGTTTACTCAAAAAAAAAAAAAAAAAAAAAAAAAAAAAACAGATGTACTAACTGAGCACAATGTACTTCGCTAATTTATTGTATGCTTGGCTAATTTATTTATTAGTTAGTGGTGAGTTAACTAATTCATTGACATCCAATTAATAAAGTCACATCAGAAAGACAAAGTTTAGACTTTAGAGGTGAAAATAACATTTTTTCTACTAATATTAAAGGAAATATCATCAACAAAAAATAAAGGATGGTTGGTAAGCCAAACTCTTGATACATCTCATAAGTTACTCTATACAAGTCATAGTTAATTATTTAATATCCTAGATAAGAGTACCAAAATAAGAAAGAATAAGCTTCACACGCAATTCGTGAGTGATAAGTTGAGCATCCATTTCAACTTCAATTTTGTCCCACCCCAACTCCTTCAGACAAGTGTTTTACGTATAATTATAGATTTTGCATCTTTAAGTAAACAAAGAGTCTTGAGTAGTTCTCTCGGTTGCACAAAAGTTTCCATCATAGTTACGAATGATCCAACCAAATCCATTTTTCTGCTTGTTTGAGTCCAAAGTTGCGTCTTTGTTCAACTTAACTAACTAGTAAGTGATTTTTCATAGGAAGCTACGAAATAGTTATATAGTTTATCATTTGCAAGCTTCCATCTATCAAAGAAAGAAAAAGTGTTATATACAAACCTATATGGATTAAGAGTGACAATTCCTTGAGTTATATTATTTTTAGATTAAAATCGTTTAACAAATGTGTTGATAGACTCGCCAACCTAGGACAAAATAGCATGTGGGGGACGATTGTATTCGAATCACTTAACACAAGACCCTCAGGCCCCTCTATTGCACAAAAAGAAATAACTCCCAACATATTATGAGCATTTGTCAAAATAGATCCTTCCACAAGCATTGAGAATTCATATGGACCCATTGATGGGATCATGGGAAGTAACAACACTCTTAGATAGCAATTGATGTCAAGTTATATGAGTAATTCAGTTTAAATAGTAAGTGGATTCATACTTATTTCAAATGTGTGATATTCTCATCAATTACAATCCAAAAGCTAAATCAGTCCACATTTATTGGGAGTTCCAAATCCATTTCCCAACTAAGCAATAGAAATATATTTTTGAAAAAACAAAACACATAATTAATATCTATACATTGCTAACAAAAAATGGCAATTATAGCAGTTGCTGATTGAAGCTTCTCTTTGGTGCAGTAAACTAAAGAAAAATGTCATCTACTCAACAAAATTGCACAGGCTCAAGAGTCTGTCTATAGATTATGATGTGATTTTTGTGAATTATATGTGGAGATGATAATATTATCAGCACTCTATTCTGACAGCTCCACTTTCAGAAGAAATGAACTTTGGTTTTCGGTTGACTTGCTCCAAGCACTGGATTATGTCCCCTACCTGGAAGTCGAACCAGTTGTTGATCACCAGCCCGCATTCTGAGCCTTTCCCGACTGTCTCCACGTCCTGTTGCTCACGCTTCAGGGATGCGCAAGGCCCTTCGTAGATAACTTCGCCGCTTCTGAGAAGCCTCATTGATGATGATCTGGTCATTCGGCCATCGATCACCTTACACCCAGCGATCTTCACATCCTCTCCCTTGGCTTTGCTTCGCCCTTTGATCTCGAAGATGTCCAGCACCTGTGCTTCCCCGGCAACCTTGGTCTCGAAAGTACCGGGAGCTTTTTCAACGATCAACTTGCCAATGTCCTCCAGTAGATGATATATCACGCGGTGCATAATTATCTGCAAGCAGTTTCAAGAACTTTAGCACAAGTATCAAATATTTTTGCAGCTTCACCAAGTGGCTTGTGGTCCACTGGTACCCGGTTGCTCCCCTAAGTGGGAAGTAATAGGTTCGAACCTCAGTTAAGGCAAGTAGTGTGTATATGTAGGGTATCCCCTTCCTTATAATAAAAATAAATAAATAAATAAATAAAAAATTGCAGCTTCGAGTTAATTTAGTAGTGTAAGGTTCACGAGTGGAGTAATAGTGATAATCAATTATGGAAGATTGGTCAGTAAAAACCTTTATGCCGGCTCTGTTTGCTGCCTGACTCAGAGAAGTAGGCGGACTTCTCACATTGAATCCCACAATACATGCGCCACACGCCTGTGCCAAATCCACATCAGACTCAGAGATGGGCCCAACACCGCCATGGACAATCAGCACATTAACCTATGACACATCACATTGGATAAACAAAATTGTAAGATGTTAGGATTAAGGTTTTTTAGGAACAAACAAGCAAAAAACGGCAAGTTTTTTAATTGGCATACCTGAGGACAATCCATGCTCTTTAATGCATCTGTGACAGCTTGGACAGTGCCTTGAACATCTCCTTTTACTATGATTGCCATCTCCACCCGTTTGGACTTCTCTTTGTTTCCCTCTAATATTTCTGTATCTTCTGATTCCTCTTCTTGCTCCTCTTTTAATCTATCTGCCACCTTCTTATTTAGTCTATCTCGTTCAATCTTCTTTTTCCTCCCTTCACTTAGCATCCTTGCTCTTTCCTCAGAATGCACGACAATAATATCATCACCGGCCATAGGTAGCCCTTTCAACCCTTCAATCTCAACTGGCATAGCAGGTTTAGCCTTATCAGTCAATTTTCCCACCACATCCCTAATAGCCCTTATTTTCCCCCACTCGGCACCTACGACAACATGCTTCCCAGAAACCAGTGTTCCTTTTTTCACTATGGCAGTAGCCAACGGACCACGTCCTTTGTCGAGCCTTGCTTCAACTACGTAAGCTTGCGCGGGTCCATCAATTCGTGCTTTGAGATCCATCAACTCAGCCTGGAGAAGTAAAGCTTCTTCTAAGTCATTCAAACCAGTTTTATTTACTGCAGAAACTTCAACAACCTGAACATCTCCGCCCATCTCCTCTAAGGGCAGCCCTTCTGTAGCGAGCTGGACTTTCACTCGTTGTGGGTCTGCTGAAGGTTTATCGCATTTGTTAATTGCAACAACGATCGGAACATTAGCTGCTTTTGCATGAGCAATCGCTTCTAGCGTTTGAGGCATAACACCATCATCGGCAGCCACTACCAACACAACTACATCGGTTACTGCTGCACCTCTCGCTCGCATTGCACTAAATGCAGCATGGCCAGGAGTATCGAGGAACGTGATTGATGCTCCTGAAGGCATGCTGACAACAAACGCACCCAAATGCTGAGTTATGCCCCCAGCTTCTTTAGCAGCCACAGACGTTAGTCGCAGAGCATCTAAAAGTGACGTTTTACCATGATCAACATGACCCATCACTGTGACAACTGGAGGACGCGGGAGGAGTTCAGCACCATCATCTGAGTGAAGCCGCCTGACATTAACTCCTACTTCCTGGGAAAATGAAAAAACATAAGCTAACCAAAGAAGGAAGGTAGTAAATGGCCTAATATCTTAAGGGATGAGCTATTAATAATGAATTGGATACATATTGGGGGGAAATGGAGAGAGGGGAGGCTTTGAGGAAGAAGGGATGATAGAAGATTTAATTTCATGCTAAAAGAGACTAAGACCATCCTACAAAAGGAACATCCATGGTTAAAGGCCAACCACTTAGCCACCTAATTAACTACAAACTGCAAGTCATCTCTTGGTACCATTTCTGACACACACACCCAAATTTTCAAAACATGGGAAGGAAAAATGCAATTCATTCGTAAAAAGAAAATATTACCATTGCAACTAGCTCAGCAATGTCAACACTGAGAGGGTCAAATTCTGATTCAACTTTCTCCCCCACATTTACAAGGATATCCTGTACAACAGATATTGATTCTCCACATCTCTTGGCAAGCTCAACAATGGTCATTCCTTCAAATATCTCAATTGTTCTCTCAGGAGAATTGCCAGGTTTTTTATGTTTAGGAGGGATGTAAGGTTTTTCAACAGGTGGGGCAGTTCTTTTCGGCCTTTTCTTGAATTTTCCTTTTTTTTGAGTCTTCAAGCCCAATGATTCATCATCCTTTCTCACAGAAAGTGCTTGTGGAGTGGCATGAAGACACCTGTGGACAAACAGTTACTGATGCTCCATAGAATCTTTCTTTACAAACTATGAAAAAGAATAACATTACTATTATCTTCAATCACACAAGGATGGGCAAATGTAATAACTTTCCAGTTATGAAATTTACTATCAGGGGTCAGTTCAACTTAAATTAGCCTCGATCACAATCTATTTGGAGTCGGCACATTATCATGCATCCTAGAGGAAAAATAACCTCAGTGTTCGACTTAAAACTCAGATTCTCCTAGGGAAACATAATTGTTGCTATCTCTTGTTTTAACCAATGAAAACAGTTCATTTCACTTATCCGTATTCAGACTTCAGATTATCCTATGGTAAGACTATTGTGGCTATTGCTGAACAATGCTCAATTTTCTTAACACTTTCCCATGAACTTTTTATTTGGTAAGAAATGAAATGATTATATATATTCTCACAATAATGCAATCTATAACCTTAAATTTTAGAGTGAAAGCTCACATCCTTAGTTACATCCTTTATGCAACTTTACAAAATTGAAAGGATTAAAATTACATCCAAGAAGATATCCATGCATACAACCTCTCTGCCCCTCCTTCCCTTTGTCTTATAGAAAATGAGAGCTTTATCAACCTCTCCCTCTCAAAAGAAAAAGTACTCAAACGTCCAAACAGGATTTTTTGGACTAACAACAATTTCATGGGAAATGCTTGCAAGATCATCCCTGCACAGAATAGATCAGACATTACATATAATGAAGTTATTGGTTTACCTTATCGATATTTTATTGGTCCCAGCATTGGCATTTTCTAACAATGACACTGGATTTAGGGAATATCCTGCAAAGAAATTCAAATATAAAAGTCATGCAATCATAGATGAAAATCATTTGTCATTTTAACTCTCTTCTTAATTCAACTGAGAAAGTAAGTGGAAAGTGGGAGGGTGCAGTTGCTTTTTATACAAGCACAAAAGATAGTTGTGGCACCAGTAAAATTGAATGTCAAACCATAGTAAGTCAGCTGAAGAGATAGGCTAGTCAATGGCCAGTGTAGAACAATGGGAATCAGATGCATATGTATACGTACCCTCTATACATCTAGCCAAAATGGGAAGTGATTTTAGTGTTTCATCAAAATTGGAGGATACTGAGGCTGCTGCCTCGTTGGATGTCACAGTCAATGTTTTTTTGAGATAAGAAAGTACACCCTGCAAAAGTAATTAAAGGTAAAAATCATCATTTCCTCTAAAGCACAAGAGTTTAGCAAATTATATGAGTGATCATCTCAAGGATTTAAGTGACATATTGTGAATTCAACAATGCCTAAAATTAGAATGGCCAATAATCCCCTATATAATAAAGGGCAGTTTATAATTAGAATGCCAATAGGTCCTCTACCTCTATAATTTGACAAAATTTCCCAAGTTGATAACTATTTTCCTTGTGTTGTAGCTCTCTAGGAAATTTAAATTTAAAAAAAAAAAACAATTAAATAGGTATAATGTCCTTGAGGTTGTCTTTTTCCGTGTCTGCCATATACCTAAACAAAGAGCCAATTTTTTAATTGGGCCTTGGTGAAATAACTATAAAATCTCTAAGCTTGTGTCTTTTTCCAGACCTGCTATTTATCAAATAATGTCATTTTTCCATTATTTTCTATCATATACCATGCGTTTTACTATTGGGCATTTGGCATCAAATTTTCAACACTTTGGACAACATGGTAACTGGTTTATAAATAAGGGTTGACAGTTGGACAAAATCAAACATTTTTGGAAATTTATGTCAGAGAAAATAGCAATGGATCAGTGTCATTTTCAAAAACTATGCTCCAGACTTCAAACTCCAAATTAAGTACAACTACTGCAGGTGATATCTAATTAGGTGAACAAGTGAAGCTTCACCATAAAAAAATATTTGTGCTTTTAATTTAATGTTGCAAAGATATTTCTAAGTATCAAATCTAAAGATTTAAGCATAAGACAACTGATTTTCAAGAATTCAAGTGTCACACAATGAAGTCATTGTGAATTTGAAAATGCACCTTTTTCCCTACAATTCTCCACGCCATTCATATGCTCAATCTCTGCACCTTCAAGTAAGAACGAAATCAGCAAAATCAGCTAACACTTGTTGAAATTTTAAAAAATTAGAAAGGTAGACTAGTTCATTTGCAACCATAAAAATAAAAAGTAACAATCAAAGATAAAATTTAGAAAAACAATTCCAAAATAATGCTACGTCCAAACAACCAAGGGAAATCTATAAAAACCCTAACTTCTTGATCAGTACAGACAGTGAACATAAATGCATAAGAATTTGCTTCATAATTGAAGAAAAAAGAAAACCTGAAAATGGATACACACATTTATTAAAACCACAAAACCATGATTCCATGAAAGTTCATATTTTTATCCATTTTTGTCGGCTCATTCTTGTATTCCACTTTTATTAACTTCAAAATTACGAATTGGCCAAAAAAAAACTGTAAGTTTCATGTAAGAAATCAAGAATAAGGATTTTCTGCAAAACAAACTAGGAGTTCAGATGAACAGAGTGAATAGAGATCAGAGATTATAAAAACATACATACGTGAACATCCAAAAGTATGCCTATCTGAGAGAACTTTGGCTAGGAAATTTTAAGAAATATAGTCCCCATAGGTCAACTCAGGTTTAGCCCACTAAAAACTTCGCCCAACTAAGCTTTTAGCAATTCCAGCTACTAGTGACTTTTCAAGACTTTAGGACTGGCAAAGGGGGCAGGGCAAGACACATCCCCGTCCCCCATTCGAACATATGAAATATGAAGCATCAAAACTAAAAAAACCCTCACAGGAATTATATCGAACACATGGAGGGTATTTCAAATAGCATACTCCCTTCTCAAATCTGAAGCTTAATTCCATCAAACCCTATCTTAAGCAAATTAATGGCAACCCACTCTCCTTTCTGCATTATCATTCTTACATATAAATTTTACCATTAACATACAAGATGTAACTCTACAAACTCCTCACAAAACTCTAATACTGACCATCCTATAGCAGCAGAAATCTCAACATGAAGAACGGGTCATGCCATGTGATTAAGAAAGAAAGCAGTGACAAGAACAAAATATGGACAAGCATCCTATGCCTTCCTGGATTCGCTGGTCGTTCATTGTAACTCAGGCTCTTCCCTTTCAGATAAGATGAACTCAATGCCCCACAGAAAGACATACCTGAGATAGCTTTGATAATCTGCTAAGGTTGTGGTGGCGACAACGTAATCAGGTGGCGATGGTGTTTACCGTCGTGGAGAACAGTAGAGACTATATGAATGTCGTGTCTGCCGGGCTTTCGGAGTTGAGCTTATGTTTGGGGTTAACTAGGAATTAAGATTCATTCGAATCACGAAAAATAATTTTGGTCTTAATGAAATAGGATTTTTTATTTTTATTTTTTTTCTAAACATAATAGGATTATAACTATCAAGTATGTTCAATTAAATATTTACTCATTTTTGTCAAACAAAATTTCTTAAATATATCATATTTGCTATTGCCAAAATATTAACACTTTATGATTAAATATGAAGTTTTAACTCACCTTCAAAAATTACTTGTTGAAAAAGTACACAAATTTCTTTATATATATATTTTGTTAAGATCTCAACTCAGAATTGAATATTACAACTCATCAAAAAAGTACAAATTTTATTTTGTACATATTTGTTGCCAAATATACATATTATTATGTGACCTTTGTAATGAAATGTAACATGGCAATATAACCGAAGAAAAATAGTTAAATAAGTCTATAAATTTTATAAGAAAAATTAATTAAACCAATAAACTTTTAAAAATTATAAGATTGTCGGTCACAAATTTAGCCCATTGAAACCCTAATAATCGACTATTACAAGTAAATAAATGGTCAGATGGTATGCAGTGACATCTTCCAGAAAAAACAGCTCTTTAAGTATCAGTCAAAACATGCCTGCAGCAGCTTCCTTCAATCTTCTTCTCCAGAAAAGTGACCTGTTGCAATCACCATTAGCTCCCATTTCCATATGTGCAACAAAAACACAAGTTTTTGCCTTCAAAATCGCTAAAAAAAATTGGAAGAAAAACGAAACTTACAATGGAATTTGGCGATGGGTTTTTCCCCACTCTTAATCAATTCAAACTTGTATCCATCTCCTTCTTTCAGACCTTTAGCCATCTGAAATGTTCGCCAGCCTCGCATAAGAGCAACTTGTCGCCCTGTTCTCCCCAGAACTACTATCCACGATCTCTCCTTATCGTCTCTTAAAATTATCTCGAGTTTTTCTTCTCCAAATAGGCCATTCGACTTTGCAAACTCCAGAGGAAGATACTGCACAAGTTTTACGACATTCAAGCTTCAGATACTGCATAAAGCTATTGCTCATGTTCAAGTTCTGCATTTTATTGGGGATACTCTTAATTACCAGATAATGGGGCTTTTTGAGGCAGTACGATTTTATAGTGGCAACGAAATGAGGATTCTCAGCAGACGACGATGAAGTAGTGCCTAGTGCAATTGGTTCAACCAATACTACCAAGTCGAAAAACAAAAATTAACAAGTACACTGACCATTGTTCCAACTTCCAATCCTATCTGACATAGCAAACAACCCGAGAATTCGAAACAGTTTGCTGTGCCAGAAGGCAAGCACAAGCAGTGAAAAGCGCGGAAGAAAAATCATACTTACAATGGAATTTGGCAATAGGCGTTTCCCCAGTCTAATTAATTCCATCACATGCATAAACATAGTTTTCTTAAGTTTTTTTTTTTGACATATAGGGAGGAAAGAGTAATAGAATATAATATCACGTAAAAAGACACACAATTAGTCGTTAATTAGACAAAACAAATTATGAAGTAAATCTATTCACATATTATGTCTTATGTTATTCTATTCTCGACCTATCTCATGAATGAAACGTGTTAGTAGGTCAGTTATGTAAGATTTTCCCTAATAATATATTGTATATTATATATTAGGGTCTTAATTAAGTGGTGCAAGTTGACTAGGCTTATTAATTTATTTGGTTAGACTAACAACTAGAGTTGTTAGTCAAACAGACTATGTGCCTAATATAAACTTGGATTGATGTGATACATGATATTTATTATATAGCACATTCAGATATAGGGATGGCAACTGGGCGGGGGCGGGGAGTATACTCCCCGTCCCCGCTACCCCGTCCCCGTCTCCGACAGGGAATAGAAAAAATTCTCCGTTCTCGTCCTCGTCCCCGCAGGGAATTTGGCGGGGACGGGAAATCCCATCTCGGTCAACCCATAGTTAAAGTGTCAAATTGATACAATTTTTAAAAATGAAAAAGAAAAGAAATTAGAATTTGTGGCTGTGATTTGTGAGAGTTTATAATATTATACATGACATTCAATACAAATTATTCACAGTGCAAATTAATCAACATTCAATATATTCTCATTAATCCAATATATACACATTCATTCAATATTCACAATGCAAAGTAATCAACATTCAATATATTCTAATTAATCCAATATATACACAGTATAATTAATAATCTCCAATGGAATATGTTGAATGCTCCAAACCTCCAATATATACTGCTAATAATCCAATTTCTAATTCTAAAATAATATACATAATTTTTTAAAAATATTCGGGGATGGGTCCCCGTCCCCATCCCCGTCGGGAAATTTCAAAAATTCTTTGTCCTCGATTCCGAAACTTTTTCCCGTTCTCGTCCGGGGACGAGGATCTCCAACTGGGACAGGGCATATGGTCATCCCTATTTAGATAGGATACTCATACTGCTCACTAGATACCAATACACTATTTAGGGTTCTGAAATGAGGTAAACTGTGATTAACGGTCTATCGTTAAGAAGCAATACAACGAAAACATCAATGTGGCTGGAGATCAACACGATTGTCTCTCATATACTATTATTCAGTACGATTAGATTATTTGTATGTAACAAGTTAAACATGAAATAGCAGAAGCCGTGAGAAAATATGTTTTACCAGCAGTAGAGCAAAAGTTGTTGGAAGGCTGGGGAAGTGGGCAATCTCTTTCACATAAAAAATAAAAAGAGAAAATTGTAATTTATGCCCCTCCATAATATGTCAATTATCAATAATGTCACCCCTGAATTATTAGTAGTGTAAATGTTGCCCCTCAATTTTAAAACGGTACATATAGTGCCCTCCCGTAGTGTAGATATTGTTCTTCAATTTTTAATAATAGACTATTACATGTTAATAACTTGTTCTTGGGAATTGATATGATGCATAAAATAACATGTTGATATACTTAATTTCAACTCTTAAAAATTTAGGGACTTCTTTTTTTTTTTTTTTTTTTTTTTAAATCCAGAGAGCTAATTAACTTTTGATATAAAGTTCAAGAACTTATTTAGAGGGTGTTTGATAAATAGTTGTTAGCTTTAACTGGTCAAGTTGGTACGTGTGAACAGTTGATAACATTAACTGATTGTAGAAAGATATTTGATAAATTAACTATTAGTTAATAACTGATTACATGTAAAATGACTTTTTCAAATTAAAAACCTGTTTTAAGCAGCTTTTGGAATTTTAGCATTTTGAAACAATAAATTGTTACAAATAACTAATTAATTGAACAATTATATAACCAAATCAAAGAATTAATAATGGTCAAATAGTTCAGAATTGACCCGATAAACTAAATGTGTTAACAAACAAGGCCTTAATATGTTTTCCGATAGTTAAAGATTATCTAATCTGTTCTTACAAGCCAGTGAACATAATACTTGATTATCTACCTTATATATCCATTCACTTAGATCACTTCAACTTTGTACACTACAGAGCCACTTGCAGAATCTGCACACTCTAAGATTACATAGCAAAAAAACACAAGGAAAACAACATCTTCTAGTATATAATGGATTCACCAAAAAAAAAAAAAAAAAAAAAAAAAAAACAGCTCTTTAAGTTTTGGTCAGAACATGCCTGCAGCAGCTTCCTTCAATTTTCTTCTCCAGAAAAGTGACCTGCTGCAATCACCATTAGCTCCCATTGCCATATGTGCAACAAAAACACAAGTTTTTGCCTTCAAAACCGCAAAAAATGGATGAAAAACTACACTTACAATGGAATTTGGCGATGGGTTTTTTCCCACTCTCAATCAGCTCAAACTTGTATTCATCTCCTTCTTTCAGACCATTAGCCATCTGAAATGCTAGCCAGCCTCGCATAAGAGCAACGTGTCGCCCCATTCTCCCCAGAACTACTGGCCACGATCTCTCCTTATCGTCTCTTAAAATCATCTCGCGCTTTTCTTCTCCCACTAGGCCATTCGACCTTGCAAACTCCAGCGGAAGATACTGCACAAGTTTTACAACATTCAAGTTCGTTTCAGATACTGCATAAAGCTATTATTGCTCGTGTTCAAGTTCTGCATTTCGGGTTATTCTTACCAGATTGGGCTTTCTGAGGCAGTACGGTTGTATAGTGGCAACGAAATGAGGATTCTCAGCAGACAAAGATGAAGTAGTGGCAGGTACTATTGGTTCAAAAATTCGAAAAACATAAATTAAAACATTTAACAAGTACACACTTGTTCCTAATCCTATTTGGCATAGCAAACAGCCCGAAAATTTGATCCCAGAAAGCAAACGACACTACTGAAAATTATGAAATTTTCAATCACCTAAAAGTAATCTTAAATAAGTTGAAAGTAAAAAGTGATCGCAAATAGCAATAAAGGTTTTACCATATGAGCGAAAGTTGTTGGAAGGTTGAGGGAGAGGGCAGGCAGCATGGGGAAGTGGGCAATAATCTCTTTCACATAGACTGGGCTCGAAAACCGAAACATCAAACACCGTATCTCTTTCCTGTCTAAACACCACAAAGTAACCTACATTCAAACCATTCTCCGCAGCAAACTTTTCCCAGCCGTTGCCGAGCATCCGGTCGCCGCGAATCTTCACCCGCCAACTCCGATCCCCCCTTCTCAGTATCGCAAACTTTGGGGCCTGCCCTTTCAAGTACTTGGCCAAGAAAGCTGTGGGTATGTCCTGAAAATGGAAAATTATATTTAAAAGACAACAAAACAGCAGAGAAATGAAGAAATCCGGCCACATTACTATGCTCATCACCACGCCGTTCTTGAAACCTTGATGAATGGGCTTGAAGAAGTGAGGGTTTTTGGGAGGAATGGTTTTCATGGCTGTAATTCTGTAAAAAAGACTTGGAAGGCAGAAATGGGAATGGTGGTGAGGTGATAGGACTGATAGATAGGCTGCTGATATAACTCCCGAATTTAAGTGTTCTTTGGGTGGGTTGGTGGGGAGCAATTCATCTTGGAAATTGGAAAGTTTTAGTACTTATACTTGTACTTCAACCCCTCAACTTCTTTAAACTAACACTTGCTTTAGAGCAACCACACCAGTTCATAATAGAAGAATAATGTCAGAAATTAGTGCCATGTGGAAGAGAGAGAAGCAAGAAAGAAAAAAATGGACTCCTCCTGCAAATGTGAGGAGATTTCAAAAAAATGGGACCCACAATTAATTTAAACCATCTGTGACAGCCATGCATGGCTGTCACTTCTGCACCCAGCTGGGCGCGTGCAGTGCACGCGCCAGCTGGGCGCGGGCGCGCCTGACAATAAATAAAATATTATTATTTTTATTTAATTTTTCTTTTTCCTTTTTTTTTTCTTTTTTTCTTTCTCTTCCCATTTTCTCTATCCTAATCACTATTACATTATCCCCCATTATCCCCAACCATTATGGATGCTCTTAGGACCACATAATGAAAAATTATACTCCGTGTTCTTTTTTTTTTTTTTAATTTTCAAAAATCTATAATCATTACATGAAAAATAGATAACTCTCCTAATGAAATTCGAAATTTTGTAATTATTTCAATAAACATATTGTTTTCATGAGATAAAACTTAAAATCTTATAGTTATCAAATTAATTGTTCAACCAACTTAACTGGAAGTTGTCACAAATATGCAAGTAAGGCTAGGATTATCCCCGCCAATATACATATTTATTACCCCTGCCAATATACATATTTGCAAAATGATGTGACATTTTTCACATCATTTGTATATAATTTTTTTTGGAATAATAGGATTTGCAAATTTGCAAATCCTATACAAAAGATGTCTCAACGCCTTTGTTAATATTATTTTAATATATTGGGTATACTTTTAAAAGTTAAGTGAATTTGTAATTTGTATGAATGTACTGTAAATAAGAAATGATTTGCAATTGGATGATGTGAAAGTGGAATTCATTTTTTTAAATCTGAGAAATTCGTAAGGATAAAAATAATCTAATATAACTTCTTTAAAACAGTATTTAGTTTTTCCATGGTGTACTACTGTACTGTACACAAGCCATATGTATCATTTTAACAACAGAGAAAAAGAATATTATATTCCAAAAAAAAAGAAAAAGAATATTATATATACCCAAATCTCTACTAGTGTACTTTACTGAAGCTATATGTGTCCTTTTAACTATAGTGAACAAAGTTGTTTTATGTGTCCTTTAATTAATTTATGATGATTAGGTAATAAATTCAAAACCAAATTGGTCGTATGCAATGATAAATTGGTCATCTAAATTATTTGGGAAATTCGATAGAGAAATTAAGTCAATTAACTCAAATAAGCCAGATAATTTGGTTTTTTGTTTTTTGTTTTTCCCATTTAGCATCAACTAAACTAATCTGAATTCAGCCTAGACTATAAACTAAACCAAGAGCTCCATAACATGAAGCACTGTCCAATTACAAAAAGAAAATCACTAAACTTGCATCCAGTCATAGTCATATTCTGCTTAGAAATAGAATATAATGCCAGGTTTTGAACCATACAATGTAGTAGCATTAACCAGGTCCAACCTTGGGAATATCGTAGTGCTCACTAAGGTTAGCGAGATACTGGTTGAACTCTTGAATTCGATCACGGTGGGATTTCATGGCTTCCTTTGCTAGTCTTCGCATATTTATTTTCTCCCATTGCTCAAGGTATCGTCTCTCCGCTGGTGTAAGATGGCTGTCGTGTTCATTCGCAGTTTCTATGTCGTTCTCATACAGGTTATCTGACAACCCACCGCTTCCACCTGCCATGATGCATAACACGATTACAAGAATACCAGTAAGCGCAAAAGTTATGTTTTTCATAAGAATTTTTGAGATTCACGACCCACCCTTAACCCAGAGGACATTGATTCAACCCCTCAAAGAATAGATTTTAGGAGTGAAATAAATAGTCTCAATAGAAAAAGGTTCGCCCTGACTATCTTCTTCATGTTATTATCAGTTTATTGGCACTATTAGTAATACTATGAATACTACTGCTTTATCACAATACAATTAGGAGCAGCCTGGAAGAAGATAAAGAGAAATTCACCAGCTTGGAAAGCAACTTCAATATTGGTCAGTTTGATATCATTATAAGCAAATGATACAATAATCTTCAGTTTCCATCTTCATCTTCTTTGTATCCATTGCACTGAAAACCACAAGAAATACTAGTCGATCACAGATAAAGATATGCACCCACTACAAGGGTGATTTGCTGCCTTCCCTAAAACCAATTATAGTTTACACAGCGAAACTAACAACAATTAGGGAAGAGCAACTGACAACAAAGATGCAGGCATCAATGATTAAGCAACTAAATGCAATACATTTTTTTTAAAAACGTGCACTACATTAGTATAGTTGTATATATAGATATTGATATTGATTACACCGGCATATAACAGTGAAAGAAACATATTTGAAACAAATTTAGCTATGACAAATAAAAGAAAGCTGCAAACCTGTTGTTTGGTCATTCCGTGTGACTCGGAACACATGAGCACGATCACGCAGCTTCTTGTGCTTCTTCTTTCTGGCACCTCCAGACTTCACATCTAGAGCCTTGCCCTTTAGCTTCAACTTTCCAACAACTACATTTTCATATGCTGACATTTTTCCTGATAAAGTTCCACAAGTATGCAAGTAGTCTGCATAAAACCGGTTAATTAGACCACATCTCCACCCTAAAAGGCAGGGATTAGACAAATATGCATGCGCAGCAACTCTTCCTCAGATCTAAGCAATTAGTGCTAGATTAATTACACAGACAATGCCCTTAAATTCATAGAGTGTTCCTGATTGCAGTAATTGCAAAATTTCCAGTACAAATGTGGGTAGATTTTCGTCTTCTCTTCCACCAATCAACATATCATGCACTTTTACACAAACAATGCCGGCTACACCCCACATTCCAGACTCCAGAGCGTATTCTAAACTGAGTACTATGAAATTCAATTCATATACTTATAAACATGCATTACAATACAAATAAACACGGAGTTCTTTCGTGACAATAGATGAATTTACTGCGCCATACTTCCATGTAAGCCGATTGCACTGGATGTATACATGTAATCGGTTAAATCAATATAATTTCCGCTACGAGATCGCATTCACCGATAAAATCAATCATTGGAATAGTAAAGCAACAGAACTACGAAAGAGATTAACAGTATCGTACCTGATCTGATCGGAGGAAGCTATTGAGAGAGATAGTGCAAACAATACATGGACGCAGCGGAACGCATTTATCCGATGAATTGCTTCCCGCCTCTCGAAGCTTCTAAAATGGGACCCGTTCTAGAACTTTAGACAGGATGCTGGATGCTCCGTACTATTTATGGAATATTTCAGATAAGCTCCTATGGTTAGATTAGTGTACCCTTTTAGCCCCAATTGTTTCAAAATGTACACCAAGACCCCTTTATCAATTTGATGTAATTAAATAAACTTTTTTTTAAGACGCGTCTTCAATTAAAGAAGCAAATTGTAAAAAATGACGCACATTAAGAAAGAAAACAACGCACCTTAGGAAGTAAAACAAAGCACCTAAATAAGAAAACACAACGCACCTTAATAAATAAAACAACGCAGTTTAAAAAAGAAAATCACGCACCTACAGATTTAGACTAACACACCTTAAGTACACAAACCACACATCTTAAGAAGAAAAATCTCGCACCTTAAAAAAGAAAACCACACATCTAAAACTTTAGACCGACGCATTTTAAGTTTCAAAAAAAAAACGCACCTTAAGTTCTTAACTAAAGAACTGATCCACCTTAAGCAAATAAACCACACACCTTAAGAAGGAAACACGGACACCTTAAGTTTGACTTAAACGATAAAATACTAAATTGCTACCGCGTTTTTTTAACATGTGTTCAATCTGGATGGTCATTTTTAGCAAGATTAACGGCTATCATTAAACCCCAACTTTGACCTTGGCACAATATCCGCATTTGATATCTGATCATTATTCATTATTGTAAACTTGTATTTTAATGTCTTACTATTTATATGAATTTTGTTTTATTCATTATGTGGTTTGTGAACTATTATACATAAGTAGAGTTTACTTTTTATCATGGTTAAAAAAATCTTTAAACGCTCATCATGTGCTTCGTGTATTTTTTAAATATTTTATTTATTTAATAAGTTAAACCTGAGAAGGCTACCACTGTGGTTGCCTTCTTCGGCGAGAAGGCGACCCAGTGGTTGCATTCTCTCTTAGTCTCATTCTCCGTGACCGGCTACAGTTCACTTTGTTGTCTGAAATTTTGTCGACGGGTTGTCGGAACCAATGATGACATATGATAATAGGTCATTAATCAATTTTTTGATTTTATTGCATCAAAATAAATTATTGATGCATGTAATTACACATTTAAAAAGTTTAAAAAGCTTTTTAGTTAAAGTTGAAGGACTTATTTGACATTTTTCATAATAATAATAACTAAGGACAAAAAGATCATTTTCATATCTTTTCCTTTCCATGCTATGTTGCCAAACACGGTAATTTGGAGACTAAAACAATTGTGTTGTTATTCTATTTCAATTACACCCAGCCAAACACTCCATAAAGGTTAAAATTAATACAAAAATGGAAAAACATTGGATATAAATGTAAATCCATTCAAAATTTTGGATAATTTGCGTGGTTATGCCTCATGATTTCATGAATCCTACATAGATTCTCTCCACTTCGATATTTACATTGGATTGTACATTTGTACTTGGAAGAATCGTCGGAAAATGGAGAGAGGTTCTCGGCGCACTCGGTCGCAGGCGGCGCCGGACTGGACGCTACAGGAGTCGCTAACACTGGTGAACGAGATCAAAGCGGTGGAGGCGGAGGCCGGAGCCACGATGTCGTCGTTCCAGAAGTGGCAGCTCACGGTGGAGCACTGCAACGCGCTCGACGTCTGCCGGAGCATGGACCAGTGCAAGCGCAAGTGGGAATCGTTGCTCGACGATTACCGGAGAGTCAAGCCCTGGGAGGCCAAGTACTGGACGGCGTCGTTTGGTGACAGTCGAAGGAAGGAATTAGGGCTTCCGGAGGGTTTCGATTTGGAGTTGTTCGAAGCCGTTGATGCGTATGTGAAAATGCAGGGGATGGACGCCGGCGGGGCGGATACGGACCCGGACCAGGACAGTGATCCGGAAGCTCAGCCTGATGACTCCTTGATCTTCCTGGAAAGAGGTATGCATTGCCGGCTTGCCGCATTGGTTGCTCCATTTTGTGTTCACCACTTCCAATACTGCATTTTGATATACAATTGATTTCCATGTTTATTGTTCAGTTTTATCTCTAGACTAGATCACCAAATACAGTATCACTTTAGCTAATGAGCAAGGGTTTCGGATTAGGGTTAGATGCCATTTCAGATTATGTACTTCCGATTTGATGTTCTAACAATTAGGGGCCGTTTGGTTCACGGAATGTTAGATTACCTTAGGGAATGTTATATTGCTGGGAATGTTAGATTACTAGGAATGTTAGTTTCCTGTGTTTGGTTAAAAACTTAAAATTGAGGTATGTAATATAATCATGTTTGGTTTAGGGTTATCTTTTATTTATTTATTTAATAATAATAATAATATTATAATAATAAGCTAACATAAAATATATATCTTTAAATAATTAGAATTAAAATGACAAAATTCATAAATATGCAAGGTTATCTTACATTACCTAACAAAATGAAGGGAATCACATTCCCTTCAAAATCCTATGTGGAGGGAATGTTGCATTCCCTGGGAATGTTATATTCCCTCAGAGAAAATGAACCAAACATAGGAATGTAAGCTCGGGAATGTCACATTCCCTTGGTTATATAATATAACCTGAACCAAACGCCCCCTTAGAGTGGATCAGTTGATCTTGTCTTCTTCCGCCTTTAAACTTTAGCAATCACTAAACTAAAAAAAATGTACAGCCCAACCAAGTTGATCAGCTGCTGATTTGGTAACCATAAGGTTACAAGTTCAACTCTTATTGGGAACGGTTTATTGGCCTTCTTAGTTTGAACTAGTCAGCTATGGGCAACCTAGCACACCCTCGGTTAGTGGCTGGGGTTTCCTTGTCACTCGAAAAAAAAAAAAAAAAAAGAGTACAGACTACAAAGACATGTCTAGCGTAGCTGCTGACATTTCTGTATGATCCAATGTTAGGGTTGGCACCATTATTTGCTTGAGACTTGTGATTGATGTAAACTGAATAGAAGTGTAGCTTAGCACCTGTATATGAAAAGTGGAAGTCTGAAATTATGTTTGTGAAACGGGATTGGCTTTGCTGTTTCCCTATTTGATTGTCTTGGCTGTTCATTCTATGCCACCATGTTAATGATGATGTGAAAAGATACATTGTTGTAAATAACAGTATTTGTGTGTGTGTGTGTGTGTGTGTGCGCGTGTATATATATATATATATATATATATATATATATATATATATATATATATATATATATATATATACTTATATAGGTTTGCGTTCATATGAGAACCATGCCTTAGGTGAGAATTTGTGAACTACTGTATGAGTGCACACAATCTACTCCTAGGATGACGGTGGAGACCCTGGAGTAGTTGCATTCATTTGAAGTGCATGTTTTTTTTTTTTTGACTATGCTACGGACCACCATGTTATTTACTTGGCTAAGAGCCATCTTTGCTGTTGAAACATTTTCTAAATATTTCATCAACCATCAATCTCCACTCCAAAATCATATACAAAGTATTTCATGAAACCTTTTCCATTACTATTGAAGGAAACAGCTTGTATCCACATGCTGTGAATGGTAAATTGAACTTTTTTGGTTGCTGATTTAGTTGCTTTAATTGAATGTGGTTAGCTGCTTTTATTAAAGTACTGATACAATCTGAATCCTGATTTGATTTATTTAATTAACCAGATGCCTTTAGAGAAAAGTGCCATATTCAGCTAACCTTGATTTGCTCTTATAATGGCAATTAGTTAACACTTTCATTGCTGCTGACTACTTGCATACACATGCCAATGTGCCATGAGTGGTAAACTGAACTTTTTAGGTTACTGATTTAGTTTGTTTTATTGAATGTGGTTAGCTGCTTTTATTAAAGTACTGGTTGTCTGGTCAATCTAAATCCTGATTTGATTTATGTAATTAACCAGACACCTTTAGAGAGAAGTGCCCTATCCAGCTAACCTTGATTCACTCTTTTAATGGGAATTAATCAACACTTCTGTTGCTGCTCAGTGCTGACTCTCATAGGAAATGAGCTAAAGATAGAGAGAGGACTTGTTAACCTAACTGTTATGGTTCTGAAATGATATGTCAAATATTTCTGGTGAATAAAGGTTAAAATGGGCCAAATTAGGACAAGTATGTGTTCGTTTTGGTAGTGAAAGATGCTAAATACTCCATACTAGAGGCAGATTCTGAAAGATAGGAAAGAAAGAGAGCGTTCAAAAAGATACAGAGAACACTTCTCTTTTGAGCATTAGAGCAATGTGTATTGTGTTAATTGAAAGTTTATTCCAACTTTCCAAGTTATCATATCGTTGGTGGAAAATAAATACGGGGAGCACTTATACACTTTGCAAATATATTCAATATAACTAGAGCAACACTAAGACCTATAGGAATAATAACAAAGCAACTAGTGCTTACTAGAAATAGGTTTATAGTTGTGGTCTGAACTGATAACTAGCAGCTCCTTGTGGCTTGTGCAGTTATATGGTTATAAATATTCGTTTAAATTAATTTATACTCCAATTATGGTGGTTTTACTTGTGTTTTCAAATGTATAATGTTGGTGTAATTTGTAAGTACTTGCTTTTCCCCTGGAACAATATACACTTCAGTCACATGATAATAATAATAGTTGGTTATTATTCCTTCGCTCACTGTTAGGGTGTGTTTGGTTGACATGTTTAGCTCTAAGGAATGCGTATCAAAGTGATTTAGTAATTACTTTTAGCCGAAACAGAGTTTGACAAGTATTTATTATCCAGAAAATTTTCTTTTATTTTCTTCTTTCTTCGTTTTAAGATTGTAAATAATACTCCATACTATAGTAAATTAGTTGTATTAATGCAAATGGCGTTAATCATGAGATTCACTCTCTTCCTTTGGGTATCATTAGGCTCAAAGAAGCAACGGCGAAGAAGCAACACTCGCAAGCGCAGAGCTGAGGAAAGTTTACATTCTTGGAGATACGCCTTAAGTGGAAGCGTGAAGCAGGAGCAACCGAGCTTGGGTGAAAAAGTGGAACCTCCAAAGGTTCAGCATTCCGCCATGGAGATAGAGGGCGAACCTTCTGGCTTGGGTGATAAGGTAGAAGAACCTCCCGAGAACAAAGAAGGGGATAACATCATGGCTGAGCCATCCATTGGTGAAGATAAACAAGAAATGATGGCTTTAACTCTGCAGAAAAACGCTGAGCTTATAAATGCTGTACTGGAAGGTAATTTTGCGGAGGATGGAGATGACGACATGATGAATTCAGTGCCCGATCCTACTGATTTAGCGAGGCTCCAAGCCGACAAGCTCATCAAGTACCTTGGAAAAATCTCAGAGACCCTTGGTCAGCTCTGTGAGATAGTGCAAGAATGTAAGTAGTTCTGCAGCAATCAATTCACCTCTTCAGTCTCTCCTGACTGTAAATATGATTATTAACTTTCTGCCAAAACAAATGTTTTATAAACCAAATAGATGTAGAATGACGTAACTAGGAGATGGGATCATAATTTTTTTTTATTTTGAATTGTTTAACAACCCAAACAAGTTTTTTTTTTTTTTTTTTTTTCCTAGCTCCTCTAGCTACACCTCCAAGCATGCAATTATGTGCACACAAACACAAGCATGGTAGAGTTACTAGGGAAACTCACAACCATTATCTAAGGGTGTGTACCGGATAAATCCCGATTGTGACCCTAGGTAACAAATGATTATAATGAGGTAAATCAATCTAAGTTGTTCATTATTGATTGACTCATTTTTAAAAAAAAACATATATTACTAGTATTTCACTTGCACGTGTAACCAACATTTATTAATTATAGGAAAAATGGTCAAATACACCTTTGAACTTTATAGGAGAAGTCAATTAGGCTCTCAAATTTTTGAAAGTTACACTTAGACGCATCAACATATTAATTTAGTGCATCAAGACTCAAAAGCCTAATAGTAATATGTAATAGCATGTCAATAATACACTGCAGAGTCTCGACGACAATCTGATAAAGACACGACTAGTAAGTTACTGAAAAAAGCGACTAAATTAGTCACCATCTCCATCAATCAAAAAAGGCGACCAAACCAGTCGGTCGCTTTCTCCGTCATTGGAGTCTTGGAGATGGGACTAATTGGTCGCCATCTCCAACGGCGGAGAAGGCGACCGATTTCAAAAGCGGTTAAGGGCCAACTAATATATATTGAGAAATGAATAACCATGCCTGATATTTAAATTCAACCTATTACATTAACCTGGATTATTCCAATTTTTACTTTTAGCCTATTATTACAACGTATGGCCCAAAAGCGGTTCGACCCAACAAACCCAAACCCATCCTATATAAGCCTAAACCCTAATACCATTATTCATTTGTCCGCAGCTCATCGCGTTTCCTTTTTCCATCTTTATCTCTAAAATCTAAGAAAATCCAAAACATCTTGTTCTCTCCCTCCCATCTCCTCCTATCGTCCTTTATGTTTTCCGTCAAAAAGCGAATGTTTTCTGCTAAAAAGTAATGGTTGACAGATAGATGAATATCTGTCAATTTCGTATAGAAAATGTATAAAAGTCCTGGTGTCTGGCGCCGCCGCATATATGCTAAGGGGATCAAAAAACGTCACCCATAGAAATGTTAACACTGAAGATCCATAGCCGGAGCCATGAATAAAATGGGGAACCAAATACAGATATAATGCCGTAGGTAAGTCTGAACTTTTTATTTTTTTATTTTTTGTTTTTGTTTTGTATTGATTACTACAATCTACATAGTGAACCAAGTTTGTATTAATAAGAAAAGCACTTAATTTTCACTTACAAGAAAAACACTTCATTAAAATTATATGTATATATTAATTGCAATCTACTAATTGAATTGCTATCACTTACAGTACATTGGGTTACAGTATAGATTGCCTTATAAGAGTTCATTTTATATAAGACAAATATAAAATTCATTCAATAACTATTAAGCTTGAACCTCTGCAACTTCCTCTTCCTTCCTTGATGCCAAGCTCGGCAACACTACTGTCTTTCATCCAATTTTATATGCTTCTTTCTTAACTATTGAATGATATGTATACTTTTCACTTTTCAATTGTATCCAACAAATATATACAACTGTTAGTTTATTCAACTGCAACATCACATGTGGAGTATGAACAGTACAGAAAAGAAGAATATAAATTCCCCCATGCAAATACATTATCAGAGTATACAGAATTTAACTAAATAAGGAGTAATATATAGTTGCATTATATAAATATTTTACAATTTTCATTTCTAATAATATAATAAACATAATAATATATTTATTTAATTTAATTATTTTAGTAAATAATTTTTTTTAATTATTTATAATATAAATGTGATTACAAAATTTTATAATATATAAAAAATATTTTTTTAAAAAAGACAAAATTGGTAATGTGAGTGTATTACATCGCCGATTTTGCTCACTTTTACTGTTTTACACCGTGCCATTCATGGCTTTTTTTTTTTTCCAAAGCTAAATCCACCGCAAAACCCTGAGTAAACACCCACATAAACATATCAAATAACCTTATCTCAAGATAAGTTAACAGGATAATGGAATGGATAAATGAAAGAAGAAAACTTACCACTTAACCTAGGGCTAAAAGAGAAGGAGACTCAGGAGGAAAAATGCCGTCTTCATATCTTAGGATGGAAGGAGCTGAGAGAGAAAATGGAGAAGAAATGAGCGATGCTATGTGAAAAATGTGGAATTATATATATATATATATATATATATATATATATATATATATATATATATATATATAGGGTTAGGGTTAGGGTTAGAAATATTATTTTGGAATTGGGTTAAAAAATTTGGTCTAAGAATTTAAAAATATTTTTTGAACTTTGGGAAATTAAATCATTTGGGCAAGTAAACTTCGTTCCCATTTTCTAAAATGGTTGTGTTCAAGGGCCCAATATTTTTTTTAAGTCCAAAAATATTCTTTGGCTCATTTCTCTTAGCCCAATGCCCCAACCTCTAAAATTTCAAGCCCAACCCTAGCTATATATATATATGCATGTGTGTGTCTATTGTTCACTTCATCCTCTCCAAAATGAAGTGAATAGATGAAGCAGACAAGAAGAACCATTGACTTTTTCTGCGTGAATCTATATATATATATATGTTTTGCTCTTATCTCTTCAAAAAAAGTTTTCAAGTTCTTACAAAGTTTAGTCTTGAAACTTTTAGCCTTCCAATTTTGATTTTGTTGCACCTCCTGATAATGTGAACATTTGATATGTTCCTTGTTGATTTGATTTGTCAAGTTGATCTTCAACAATTTTAATTATTTTAGTAGATTAACTTGACAAATCAAAGCAACAAGGAACATGTCAAATGTTCACGTTATCAGAAGGTGCAATAAAGACAAAATTGGAGGTAATGAAGTCAAAATTGGAAGGCTCCAAGTTTTAAGACTAATCTTCTTTAGAACTTGTATACTTTTTGAAGAGATAAAGAAGTAAAATTCAAATTACAAAGTTGCAGAAGATAGACATATTCACGCAGATTCATTTCTTTTCTTCATTCACGCAGCCCTCTACTTCTCTCTCTCGGGTTAGCTTCTTTTCCAAAAAGAAACCCTAGGTTCCACTGGTAAGCTCTCCTTCCCCCTCTTCTTTCATTTTCCCTCATTTCTCTGCTCTTGGAGATGTATTTATGTGGGTTTTGTTGGGATTGGATGTTGAGTTATGGTTTGTGAAGGAAGAAGTTGCAGAGCAACAAGCTTAGGTTGGATGCTTGTGTCTTGGAGAGTTTAAGCTTTAGAAATTAGAAGTAAGTGTTTATGTTCCCCAAAATCTCTTTGCCCTTTGCTATCCATCAAAGTGAATATGAGCTTTAACTCTTGTGAACTTGGTTTGTGTGTATTTACTATTTTTGTTTCCAAGTATGATAGATACAAGCTTATATTGGTTTTAAATCTTTGAAGTCTAGGTATATGTATGTATATAAATGTTTTATAGTTGAAAAATGTGTTTGAGATGTGTTTTGGAAGGATTTATTTGAGTTTTGGTGTTGTTTTGGCTCTGTTTGGTGGTTGTCTGTGTCGCAGGTTCACCTCACGGGCGAGGTAACGGAACTGTGAAGTTTTGTTGCTTAACCCGGGGGAGGCAACAGACTCAGTGACGGAACTCCCTAGTTTCGTCAAAAAGTCCGTGGTGGCCATGGAACTCGGCATTGGAATTAGGTAGTTCTGCCACTAAGTTCGTTGGTGCGGTCTCCCCTACGGAGCTATTTAGGGTTTTTGAGTCTACTTCGGGTGAAAACTTCATTTGTGCATTTTATATGTGTCTATAAATTCTTTTGGGAAAAATGTATATATTTTGAGAAACTTGATATATATATTCGTATATAAATATTATGTGTCAAAATTATTTATATTATAAATTCTACCCTTTTAAAGTGTAATTATAATGTTTGTGAGATTATAGTATATGTTTAGAATGCTTATATAAATTCTATTTGATTTATAATTATGTTTGTGTATATATATATATATATATATGAGAGAGAGAGAGAGAGAGAGAGGAAATGTGTTGAGAAAAACACTTAATTAAAATAACAATACAAATTGGGTTACTATCACTTAAGGTACTAATTGCCCTATAAAAATTCATTTTATATAAGACAAATATATATTCATTTAATAACTATTAAGCTTGAACCTCTGCAACTTCCTCTTACTTCTCTCAAGCAAAGCTTAGCATCACACTCATTCTCAGGCCAAATCCATTGCAAAACCCACCTTTGACGACCACCTAAGCATATCAAATAACCTTATCTCAAGATAAGTTAGCAAGAGAATGGGATAAATGAAAGAAGAAAACTCACCACTTGAACCTAGGACTAAAAGAGGAGACTTAGGAGGAAAAATGCCTTCATATTGTAGGAAGGAAGAATTCGAGAGAGAAAATGGAGAAGAAATGAATGCTTTTGCGTGAAGAATGAGGAATTAATGAAGATGAATATCTATACTAGGATTGTTATATTTGGGTTAAGGTTATATTTAGTAAATGGGTTAGGCATTTGGGCTAGGCTGCGTTGCGTAGGTTGGGTTAGAATATTGGGTTAGTAGTTCTGGTCTCAAAATAACTATTTGGGTATATATATATATATATATATATATATATATATATATATATATATATATATATATATATATTATATACCTAAATGGTTGTTTTGAGACAAAACTACTAGCCCAATATTCTAACCCAAACTACCTGACCCAGCCTAGCTTAAATGCCTAACCCATTTACTAAATATAATATTGACCCAAATATAGCAACCCTAGTATATATATATATGGTTAGGGTTAAAAATATGATTTTGGAATTGGGTTAAGAAAATTTGGGTTAAAAATATTTTTAGCCTCAAAGAAAAATTATTGGATTTAAAAGAAATTAAATCATTTGGGCAAGTAACCTTGTGAGGTCGAATTCCTTGTTTCCCTTGTAAAATCGAATATCCTTTTGTTGAAAATCTTTTCCATTTTTCAAACTTTGTTCATATTTTCCTCTCAAAATAGTTATGTGCAAGGTGACAGCCTAATTTCTGAGGTCGTAGCCTTCATAATCTTGATATTATTCTTGACTAATGTTACTCCCGATGTTTTTAATTTAATTTCTCATTTTCTTTCCTTCGAGTAGTCTAACTCTTTGAAATGAAAGCGTGTTTTCTTTAAATGTTTTCCTTCATCAAAATGGTTTTAGCTTCAGAGAGAAAGCTGGGGTGGGTTGTGACACCCCAATATTTTAAACCATCTTATTTTAATAAAAATACTCTTAACAAATAAAAAATAAAAAATTTATTTTATTTTCCAAAATATATTTTAGCAAGAATGTTTTCAAAACAAATTATTTTGCCCCGGGATTTAATAAACTATTTTATAGCCTGCTAATATCATTTTATAAGTATCAAATTCTCTAAGCCCAAATGATTTAAATTTTAAGTCCAATAATTTTTTTTGAGTTCAAAAATATTCTTGGCCCAATTTTCTTAGACCAACCCTTAATATCAAATTTTAAACCCAAACCCTAGCTATATATATGTGTGTCTATTGTTCAGCCCCTTCATCCTCTCCAAAATACTATTCACGCAGTTTCATTTCTTCACATTCACGCAACCCTCTGCTTCTCTCTCTCGGGTAAGCTTCTTCTCCAAAAAGAAACCCTAAGTCCCAGTGGTAAGCTCTCCTTCCTTCTGTTCCTTCATTTCCCTTCATTCCTCTGTTTTTGGAGATGTATTTATGTGGGTTTTGTTGGGATTGGATGCTGAGGTATGGTCTGTGAAGGAAGAAGAAGTTGCAGAGCAACAAGCTTAGGTTGGATGCTTGTGTCTTGGAGAGTTTAAGCTTTGGAAGTAAGTGTTTATCTCCCCCAAAATCTCCTTGCCCTTTGCTATCTATCAATGTGAATTTGAGCTTTAACTCCTGTGAACTTGGTCTGTGTGTATTTACTATTTTTGTTTCCAAGCATTATAGATAGTAAACTTATATTGGTTTTAAATCTATGAAATCTTTGTATATGTATGTATATAAATGTTTTACAGTTGAAAATGTGTTCGAGTTGTCTTTTGGAAGGATTTATCTGGGTTTTGGTGTTGTTTTGTCTCTATTTGGGTCGCAGGTTCACCTCAGGGGCTAGGCAACAAATCTGTGACGTTTTGTTGCCCAGCCCGTGGGAAGGCCACGGACTCAGTGGCGGAACTCCCTAGTTTTGCCACAAAGTCCCGCTATGACCACGGAACTAGGTAGTTCCGTCACTTAGTTTGTTGGCTGCCGTCTCCCCCTCGGAGCTAATTAGGGTCTGTCAGTTTACTTCTGTTGAACACTGCCTCTGTGCATTTTATTCATGTCCATAAATTCTTTTGGTGAAAAATATATATATTTTGAGAAACCTATAAGTTGATATATATATATATATATATATATATATATTTGTATGTAAATATTTGTATGTAAATATTTTGTGTCAAAATCATTTACATTATAAATTCTATCCTTTTAAAATGTGATTATAATTTATAATGTTTATGAGATTATAGTATATATGTTTAGAATCCTTTCTGAGATTATATAAACCCTTATCTATGATGTTGAGTTGAAAACTATTTTACAAAAGTTGTGTTTATAGTGTAGTTGTTATTACTTGGTGTTGTAATTAGTCTCATATGTTGTAAAGAAAATCCTATCTTTGTTTTGGTGTGTATACTTTTGGGAAAATGGTCTTAAACCCTTATTTTGGTGTGTGTTGCACTTGTAGAGTCTCTCTCTCTCTCTTATTTTGAAAAATCTTCTTATTTGGTCAAATGTTGCCACGTATTTTGAAAACTTTTTTGAAAATGTTCCTTCTAAGCCTTTGGCTAAATGTTTTCTAAAGTGTGGCCTATTCGAGTTTCAAAACCTATTTACAAAGTATAACTATTTTCAAACTGAAAATGTAAGTATTTTACAGGGCGAGTAGCTCTTACTTAGCATTTTATGCTAATGTTTTTGTTTTTGTGTTTTCCATCCTTGTTTTCAGGACTGGAGTTTAGGCTAGTTTGAGAGCGCGTTGTAGAGGTGTAGTACTACATGAATGGTAGTAGCTTAGTACTTTTAGTTGTATAGTAATGTTGTAGATTGTAGATTTGTAGATAGTTAATAGAACCCTATTAGCTTGTGCGTTTGGTGGTCCTGGTTGGCAGCCCAAACATGGCGGTAGCACCTTGTGTATTAATATGTTATTTTCGCTTCCGCATTCGAATTCTCTCTTTTCAATAAATAATTCTCTTATTTCAACTATATCCCGGTTTATAAAAATGGGGGTGTTACAAATGGGCAAACTAAATACTTTATTATTATAAGAAATTATTGTAATATTATATATTATAATGTTTGAGCCATTCTGCATTTTATTATTGCTTTAAAAATTTGTTTATTTCTGTTATTCATGACTAAATGTAAAAGTGGTAAATCTATTATTTTATATTCTAACTAGTGCTAAACTAATGCAATGCTTATATTTTTGTTTGTTCTTTTGGTAGCCGACATAACTCATCGAAATCGACAGTCGGTTTTTCGATCGGTGATAGCATTTCATTCAGTCGGTTATGGGGGTCAAAAATTCTAATTGGTTTTTTGGTCGGTATAACCGACCTACCGTTTGCTTACCCCTACGGAAAGTTGTTTATGGAAGATGAGGTAACAGAGAGGAAGAGGGAAGCCATTTCAACTCAACGAGGAGCTCTATAATATTGTCAGGGCAGGAGGGAGCTCAAATTTGATGAAATTATGGAATTTTTGCAGAGCATTTTCATCTCTGCCAGCATACTGTACTGGACCAGTCTCAGTTATCCATCTCAGTCGCTTACTGCAGCTTTCTTGCAATTCCAAAACATTACGCCATGGAAAACAGACCCATCAACAGATAATTGTACATGGAGTTGTCGAGAATCCATTTATCATTACTAAATTAATCCAAATGTACGCTGATTGCGGGGATGTAAATTCTGCGCGCCTTTTGTTTGATGAATTGCCGGAGCCAAATGTGTTTGCCTGGACGGCACTCTTGTCCTTCTTTTCCCGCAATGGGTTGTTTTATGAGTGTGTTAGCACTTATTGCAAGATGAAAGTCAAGGGCATTTTGCCTGATAAGTATGTGTTTCCGAGAGTTCTGAGAGCATGCTCATTGTTTTCTTGCTTGGAAGTTGGGGTTCAGGTTCACAAGGACGTGGTTGTGGGTGGTGCTGAACAAAATGTGCATGTTGGGAATTCTTTGATTGATATGTACTCTAGATGTGGGGACCTTAGGAGTGGTAGATTGGTTTTTGATTCGATGATCGAGAGGGATCTGCTCTCTTGGAATTCGATGATTTCAGGATATGTTTGCAACAATTTTCTTGCTTCTGCAATGGAAATGTTGGGTTTGATGAGAATGGCGGGTTTTCAGCCCGATATAGTGACATATAACATTGTGATGGATGCTCATTGCCGTGTTGGTCGGTGTGATGAAGCTTTGGAAATATTTAAACAGATCAAGGATCCTACTATAGTCTCATGGACAACTTTGATATCTGGCTATTCTAGAATAGGGAAACATAATATCTCGCTTCAGATATTCGGGAATATGATGAGTGAGGGAGAAATTTATGCCGACTTAGATTGTCTTTCCTGTGCCCTTTCTTCCTGCCAACATATGAAGGCTTTAAGGAGTGGACAAGAAATCCATGCATATGGTATTAAGGTGGAACAATTGCATGTATTTTACCGATCAGCTGGACCTGCCCTCGTATCCATGTACTCTAAGTCTGGGAAGATTGAATATGCAAGGCGTGTATTTGACTTGGTGGATAAACGTGATGTTGTTGCCTGGAATGCAATGATTCTCGGGTTTGCTGAGCAAGGGGCGGGGAATTCGGCTATCGAGTGCTTCAGAGAAATGCAAAACATGAGAATCGAGAATGATCAGACAACAATTACGACTATTTTGCCTGTGTGTGACCTGAAATACGGTAAACAGATTCATGCGTATGTTTGCAAAGCAACTTTCGGTGATGCCATTCCGGTTTGGAATGCACTGGTTTACATGTATGCAAAATGCGGATGCATACAAGCTGCATATTCTGTGTTTTCTCTTATGGGTAACAGAGACTTGGTATCATGGAATACAATGATTGGCGGGTTTGGAATGCACGGTTTGGGCAAAGCGTCTTTACAACTCCTGCAAGAGATGAATCTTTCCGGCATTCACCCCGACTCATTGACATTCACTTCTGCACTATCGGCATGTAGTCATTCAGGTCTCGTTGACAAGGGGCTAGAAATTTTCCAGAGAATGACACAACACTACCGCTTAAGTCCCAGAACGGAACACTTCACTTGTATCGTTGATTTGTTAACACGGGCAGGTCGTCTTGAAGAAGCTGTCGACTTTATCACGAGAATGCCTGTGGAACCGGGGAAGCACATTTGGGGTTCTCTACTTACCGCGGCTTTAGCACACCAAAACTTAGATATCGGAGTTATGGCTTCAGAAAATTTAGTAAAATTGGAGCCTGAAAATCCTGGGCACTATGTGACATTGTCAAATATGTATAGCAGAGCTGGAAGAACAGATGATGCTGTTGGACTTCGGAAAAAAATGGAATGCACGGGGCTGGTTAAGCAGTTTGGACGGAGCTGGGTTGCAACTGGAAACTGAACATTTATCATTTTGTTGGCCTTCAAAAAAATTCTTTTTTCAAATCTATATCCATTTAGTTTTGCAATTTCATGAAATTGATCAATTCATAAATAGCAAATTAATTAATACGTATAAAAGATTATGATTCTTGTCAAATGAATAATTTGTAATATGACAATTGCTTTAACTTTTTATCCTTAATCTTGCATGATTTGTCACGAAAATATTTTTATCCAATTAATTTATAGTAAAATCGACAATTTACAAATTCGTAGTAATCAACATAACAAAATTATGATATTGCCTCCCAAATTAATGCATATAAAATATTATGACATTTTACCCCCATTATTTTAGACTAAATATACATCGGTTGTTTCAGTCAAAATGTACATTGTTTCATCCTAAATAGTAAATACATATAAATAATAAAAAAAACATTATAACCAAGTTATCAAACCGGCAAGAACAATATATATATATATATATAAAGCCGGCCGGACATAGCAAGAAAACAGCTAATAATTCTTCAATGGCCTTTGTCAATCTCACCACTCTTGTCCCTTTTCACTTTTCACTTTCCAAATCACTACCATCTATATATCATGCCCTCGCTTCTATCACCTCCCAATATTCCCTCCTTCTCCTTCAATTCTCCCTCTGCTACTCCTTCTCATCTTCCCCATTTTCTTCATTCAACTCCATCGCACAAAGTCAACTAATAACTAACTCGGAATTGTAGTGAAAATCGGCAATCATCACCATGGATTCAATGTCCCTATGCTTGCAGCTGCTCTTGATGCTTCACGTCTCGTGCCTCCTCGTAACGACGTCGTTCGCAGAGCCGCCGTCAGTCCCCGGCCTCCTCCTCAAGTTCAGGGATTCTCTGACGAACACCTCGCAGCTGAGCAACTGGAGCCTCAACAATGTCCCGTATTGCAAAGAGGATACTCCGGTTTGGACAGGGCTGATCTGCCGTAAAGGACAGCTCGCCGGACTGAAGCTGGAAGGGATGGGACTCGCCGGAAGAATCGACGTCGAGACGTTATCGCAGCTGAACTCCTTGTCGCCTCTGCGCTCCATAAGCGTGATGAATAACAACTTCGAAGGTAACGGCTTTTTAATTGATTTTAAGTTTAAAAAAAAAAAGTTACTTATATATATGTTTGATAAATAACTTCTGATCTAAAAAATTGATTATGAAAAATCAAGTCGTAGGATTTTTTTTTTTTTTTTTGAATTCTTATTTTAACTCAGATATTTTTTACTTTATTTTTTAAATTTTAATATGTTTGTTTATGAAAACAAATATTTTAAAGAAAATGTTCTTTACTTTTTATTTTTAGTATTATGAAAAATAATTATTAAAATATTTTTTTATTTATATGTAATTATTAATAATTAATAAAATTATTGTTATAAAATAAATTCAAATTTTCTTGAGTACTTAAAATAAATTCATATACTTAAATTAAAAGTCATTTTTATGTTATCAACTGCTAATATAATTCATCAACCGCTAATTGTTAATGATCGAATGAGGTCATAGTCTCGAGTGAAGTTTGATAACATAATTAATATCATTTTTAGTCATGTTTTTTCATATTTAGTTGCAAATTAAATAACCTTCTCATAATTTAACTTTAACTTTTATGAAATTTAATCTATTATGGTTCCTGGATGTCGGATATACGGTTTAGATTATTCTCAATAACATTCCAAATTTACAAATTTGTTCATGGAATAGGAAAATGATAAAAAGAAAAGAAAAGAAAAAAAAAAGTAAACAATTAAATTAAAAAAAAATCACTAAAATAGAAGATTAAAACTGATAGGGCCATTTCCGGATGTGGAGAAACTCCATTCACTGAGAGGTTTATTCTTGTCGAACAACCGGTTCTCCGGTGAGATACCGGACGGAATGTTTTCCGGCATGAATGTGATGATGAGAGTTTTGTTGGCGAACAATCAGTTCACAGGGAGGATTTCGTCGTCGTTGACGGGATTGGGAAAGCTGTTAGAGTTGAAGCTTCAGAACAACCAGTTTGAGGGTTCCATTCCGGATTTTGCGCAAAAGGATTTGGGGGTCGACTTCTCTAATAATAGACTTGAAGGTCCCATACCGCTTCATCTAAGTGGTCAAAACGCCGGCAGTTTTGCAGGTTAGGAATTTTTTACCTGAAAATTTTGGACTATTCAATGTTTAATTTCATGTGTGCTTCATTTATTATTTATTTTACCTGATTTATTTTCTTATGTTCTTTTACCCGCTAAAGTCATAACATGAGATTTAGTCGTGTACACAATCATTACGTTATCCATGTTTTCATCATTACTCAAAAAAGTTATTCATATTTTCATATTTTATGTGTATATATCAGGTAATCCAAAATTGTGTGGCAAGCCGCTGAAGGTAAAGTGCCCGCCGGAGGAGGAGAAGAAGAAAACATTCCCCTAAATAGCAATATAATCATCATCGCCGCCATTTGGACGAACAGATGATGCTAATGCACTTGGAATGAATAAAAATGGAAGGCACAGGGCTGGTTAAGCGGTTTGGACGGAGTTGGGTTGCAATTGGAAAATGAACATTTAATTTATCATTTTATTTAATGCAAAAGTCTAAACTCTGGTTCCATGCATAATGGCTGACATTATTGGTTGAATGCTTTTATTACACAGATTTCTTACATATCTATAATGTTTGAGTCATAAGTTTCTTAATTATTGTTGTATGTAAGAGGATAGTTACTTCGATATTTTTACAGAGGAAATCTAAATTTCATATTACCGTGCTAAGGATCTTGTAATTTAATGACACCAAATTACTTCATCATGAGGGAGGTTGCGGGATCGAGCCTCAGTAGGGAAATTAAGAAAATTATTTTCATATATATTTCTGCCTCTTTTTATTTTTATTTTTTTTATTTTTATTATCTCCATCTTTTATTATTATTATTATTATTATTATTATTATTATTATTATTATTATTATTATTATTATTATTAGGGATAAACGGATAAGATTTATTCTCATGACATATTCTCATTCTCGTGTGGTTATATATATAAAAAATTAAAGAGAAAGAAACCAACTTACCAAACTGGTATATATATATATATATATAGGTTGGATCCAGTAAGATCACCTTATTCATGAGATCCCATCTCAATCATCCAATTAAATTTAATTAATGGTAAGAATTAAATTTTAAGACTCATTTGTATTAGGATATACTAGTATTTGCACCCGTGCGATGCACGGAATGGATTTGTTGTAATATATTAAGAATATATGAATCGATATATAATTATTTAAATTAGAACATCAAATATTATATAGTGCAATTAAAGATATGATTTGAATCGTTTATATATTTTGATGTTATCATTGCTTGAATTTGTGCAAATAATTGCTCAAATTAATAGCTAATGTCTAGATATACGCATGCGGTCCTATAATTTTGAAGATTTTATTTATCATTGTTTAGTATTTTCATACATTAGGCAAATGTGCTTGTTCTCTAACAACTCAGTTATAGAAATGAATTGTTATCCTTATTCATTTGTATGGAAGATATATTTTTATGTCTAGATATATAGCAATTTTTTCATTTTAGGAAAAAAAAAATTAATATCACCGATTATATTTACACATTATTGAAACCTCTTTGTAGACAACATTAGTAGTGACAACACAATCTTGTTCATCTTCGTCTAGAGCTAACATCTTCTCCATCAGGACGGGTTACTTGGATGAAAATATATAATGGTAGAATATCACTCAATTAGTTATTCTTTTATATTTTCAGTCAATTTGTAATATCAGATTCATTTTCAGCCAATTATTCTTTTTTATTTTCAGTCAATTAGAATATCAAATGCAATTATATTTTTACATAACTTTCGTTCCATTTTTAATTGATGATGTAGATATTATTATTGAAATATTTCCGTTCCATTTTTAATTTACCTTTACTATTGTTTAAAATATGCATTTACTATTGATAATGTAGAATATTATTATTGGAAGATTTTCCTCCAATTTTTAATTTCCATTCCATTTTTAATTAAAATGCAATGTTCTGGCCATTTTTTTAGTCAATTATAGATCATTTTTTATTTGCAGTCAATTATTAATATTCATTTCCTTTTATATTTTCAGTCAATTAGTAATATTAGATTTATTTTCAGTCAATTATTCTTTTTTATTTCCAATCAATTAGTCAATTAGAATATAGATGCAGTTATATTTTTACCTAATTTCGTTTCATTTTAATTTGATGATGTAAAATATTATTAATGAAATATTTTTTGTTCCATTTTTAATTTATCTTTACTATTTTTTTAAATATGTCTTTACTATTTGATGATGTAAAATATTATTATTGAAATATTTCA